TTTTTTTAGCTTGCATGCTGTTTGTGTGAGTTTAAAAGTGAATCAGTACCATATTCTGCCATTTTCCATTTAAATTTTTATTCACATATCTAAAAAAAAGCCACAAAGATGTTAAAATGGTCTAAATGCTCATAAAATGTGGATTAAATTAACTGCTGTTAGGTATTTTAAACATAAGGTTTTGTTCAAGACCATACAAATCTATCCCACTCTTAGTTTAGCTTCATTTTCTATAATAGATTTACTATTTTGATCAGACTATTACAGTTCATTTATTATTTTGGATACTGAAGCTGAGCAACTGGAAGTAGTGTCATGCTCATTGAATTATTGGAACCTTCATGATTAAAGTTGCATAAGGTTGTACAGTGTTATGACATTTGCACGTCATATAGTAAAAACTGCCAGGATCTTCAACTACTTTCTAATACAATTATCTTGAACACAGCTGTTTGTAGGTAATAGAAAATAAGACCAGCAGAAGAACATTCCTTGGTCTGTATTTGACATTTTTTTTTGTTGTAAACTTCAGTTTTCTTTTAAAGAAAATTGATTTCATCGCTCAAGGCTTGTTGCTATATTGAATTGGCAGGCTTGAAAGCATCTTTGAAAAGCTTGAAGGCCCGTGTTACATGAGTGGCTGTGCTTAAAAAAAATAAAAATAAAAAATAAAAAAGTTGCTGTTGTAAAGGAAAGCTCTTAAGCTTCTCTCTCCAATTCTTTCCTGAGAAGAGATCACTCACAAGAGATCACTTTAAATTACACCTCTAAATGTATATGTATTAAATAACTATGAGACATGACAACAGTTTTTTTTTTTTTTTTTTTTTCCATAAATTGTAATTAGACCAGAGAAATGGCTCAGCTTACAAATAGCAGCACTTATCACCGGGCCTACTTCTTCAGAAAGTCAGCCCAGAATAACAAGAAGCATTTTATACATCTCCAGGGTCCCCCCCTGCCACATCATCACATCACAGAGGCTTGTAAATAATAACCGGCTCCAGCCATATTAAGATATTACAAAGTGTTCTAGATCAGGGACAGCCTGATCGCCAAGTGGCCGAGAACTCGCTGTTAAGAAAGATCTGCTCCGTCTGTGCTCCCATTTCATTCCCAAATCTTTAAACATAATGAAGATGATAACTTTTTATCCTGACAGAAGAACTGTCCTAATTAGATAAACTACTTGGGAATATATTAACCTTAAAATGTAACAGGCAGGTATTATTAAGGTTTAAAAAACACATAGAAACACAATAGAAATTGATCCTAACACTGTTTTCAAAGTATTTATTGAGGCTTTGCAATTTCCATTTGCCTTGATTTACCCTAAGTCCCCTAAAGCCTTTCTGACACAGCTCTGTATCTGAAGATACTTAATTCAGGAAAATTATCATGTCTACACCCTGATCCTGTTTAAATATTGTGAACTTTTTGGATTGATATGATAGAATGACTAAGGGATAACATAAGTTAGTATTAAAACACACTGAAGTCAGAAACACAGAAATATTATTTCAGATAGACACTAATTGTGTGTTTGTTTTTGTGCAGGTTAAGGTGGACGCTTCTGTAACTGAGGTGGAGCTGGAAGGGTTAACTCCAGCCACTGAATACATCGTGACAGTTTACGCCATGTATGGAGAGGAGGCCAGTGATCCCATGACCAGTCAACAGACCACATGTAAGCATCAACCAAACAATCCTTTAAACCTGGATTTTCCAATATCCTCCTTTAATGATATTCTCTGTTTGCAAAGTGATCAGGTGCAAACTATTTTAGTGTCTGTTTTCCTCAGATAAGCTAAAATGTAAACTTTTCCTACATTTTATTTGTGCAAAATAAATTTTAGTTTTTTATTATGAAAAATGCTATTTTTAAATGACACTCCTAAAAAAAATAATATAAAGAATTACTGATAATCCTCTTGTTTGTGTTGGAACCACAAACATTAAAGCATTTCATTTAAACTCTGAGGTACTGTAGATCAACAATAAGTTAGTTGTGAGTGAATGCGCCATACATTGCTTTGTTTCATTGATTTAGTGGGAATAAATCTAAAAGTTAAAGTGCTATAAATGGTTTGGCTAAACTCTGAACTGTATCTCTTGGTCAAGATAATACTAATATTTTTATCCTAAAATAATATAAATAATATAAAATTTATATAAAATACATTTTTGTGATGCATTTTTCAACTGCAGTTTTTACAGCGGTTTACTTACACAATATTTTTCAATTTTTACTTTATAAGATCCCTGTGTTCTCAGCTTCTGTTTTACCTTTAACCTGAACGGTTGGTGGTTGCTCTTTATACAAAGATTCAACTTTCTGCAAAGTCTTGAGGCAAAATCTTTTCAGCAGAAATATTAGGCTCTGGGTAATAAGCTTTGTGAAGTTTTATTAATAAAATATTTCTTACGGCTTTATCACCCTAATCTTAAATTGCTTTCATTCTCTTTGGAGCACCTCACTCCACTCTAGTCATTTCAATTTATTTGCAGCTGCCTGTGGTTCATTTGGAAAGAAACCAAATCTCTTATTAAAGAGACCTCTGTTTATTCATGAAGAACACTTCACTAATTTTAGCTTGTTTTGAGATCTATATAAATATCTGCATGTAGGACTCAGAGAAGATGAGCTAGATTCTTAATTCAGACACTGCAGCAAATGTGTTTCCATGATTTGCCTTCAGTCATGACTTTAATATTTTCTAATCAGTGGAATTAGCGTTTTAATTGTGTTTTCTTCACCTTCAACTCTTCATTTAGCTTTTCTAGTGCAACTAGAGCATGTTTAAGTCACATTTTCTGGCACTTTTTGATTTTCTCCACTGTTAAATGATCAGCCTCGGGTGCCAAAATCCACGTCCAGCTCCTTTTCTCACAGCTATTTTCTGCATGTCACACTCTATCTTCAGTGTTTAAAAGCAGTGATTAGAGTCTGTTTCTGTTGAAACGTTTCCAAATCCTAACCATTCTCACCAGCTTATGTTTTATGGCATCTCCATGAAGGAGTGAGGTGTGTGGCTTTAAGTCAGAGCCTGTTTATATCTGTAGAAAGGGTTTAAAGCTTCAGTTGATGTCAGCAGCTTCACAGTCGCAGTTTTTTGTTGTTTGTTTTGTTTTTCCATTCGCAAAGGATTGACCTTTTTTTTTTGTTGACTTTTTAAGGCGTAATGTTACAGATAACGATATGTTCTGCATAAAATTACTTTCTTTGTGCATTAATTTAATAATCTTACTTATTTTTCCTGCGTTACCAGATTTTGCATCATTGAGTCCTTTCTTTTCTTTCCGTCATATAAATGCCTTTATTTCATTTTGCAATATGATTAGGTTTTTATGGTGTCTTTGGTGCAATTATGTGTCATTGTATATCATCAGAATGATCTGAAAACTTACTTTCTTGTCAGCTGCTAAGCTTTGATGCAACTGGACAAAGCATGATGGAGGTTTAATCTGCACTCATTTCTCCTATTCATTCTGATTTCAAAGCTCTCTGAAGCCTCTCATCCCTCATTTTGTCAACAGACTTGACAAAATGAGGAACTGTTATTTCTTCTGTTATTCACCAATAATACACTCTGATTATTAGTGTTGTCTAAAACAGCACACGCATATGACCTTGATTAAAATAAAAAATGAACCATGACAGAGATAAGCGTAGGAGTGCTTAACAATACGATCCCATGTCTGATGTGATAAATATATGAAGATAGCTTTTTGTGTTTTTATTTTCCTCCGTTGCAGCACAAGTTGCATACAAACTATAGATGAAAATGTATATTTTATGATCATAAAGCTCCTAAATATTTGTCCCTAGTCTGGTCATATAATAAAATTTTGACTCCTCTCTGCACCACATTATAGTTTTATCTACATGATGTAAATAATTTGAACCTTCAAACATGAAAATGGTGTATAAATGAAATTTAAAGCAGTCCAAACTATGCCAGATTAATGTTATATCTGTAGAATCCAAACAGATCACTTTAACAGGACTTCTTTGACTGTCAGAACACAGAACCTTGGACCCAGAAGTCTGGCAGACAATCTGACATGACCTATAATAGTGTTTAACAACTGTTTGATGAATCAGCGCCTCAGCAGCTACTGTAGGACCGAAAGGCCGGAATCTCTGTTGAGGGGAAAACACAGGTTAGTGACTACGAAACTCTGACATAGGGTNTATTTCAGGCAGGGTCAAAGCTACAATGGTGCTGACACCAGAAAACCATTCTATGACATCTTACCTTTACAGACGTACCAAAAGTTTCTTCTTAAATCTAATAGCTTTGAGACTTTTGTGTGTTTTTGTCAGGCAGAAATTTATTTATACCCCCTTAGGGTGTAAGAGGTTTTAACTGATGAGCAGAAGCCAGCAGACGAGGGAGGGCAGGTGATTTTAGAAGGAGAAGCAATAGCCGGTCTTGATTAGGCAAACAGAAATCCAGACCAGAAGATAAGGGATCCAAAGAGGTACCGTAAGGAAATCCAAGTGGTAAGCAGGCAGAATCCAGCAGAGTTAGGTAAACGGATCAGAAAAGGGGCAGGCAGGCTCAGAGGTCCAAGGGCAGAAACTAGTCAGGATTAGGTTATCAGAACAAACAAACTGGGTATGTTAGAGAACTCTCACCTACTGCTAGAATAATATGGCACTGATGGCTGGGACCATGCAGTTTAAGTAGAAGCTGGAACAGGTGGATCTGATGAAAGGTAATGAAAACTAGGTGGAGCTAGGCAGAAGGAAGGAATGAACCATCAGTGCAAAGATCATGACACTGAAAACATGAAACAAGCACCACAATCTAACAGAAGAAAATGTATCAATCTGGATGAATAGAGGAAAAAATTAGAGACTAGAGATACACAAATCTGATACTTGGATAAGATATGGAGTCCAATATTGACTAACTAGCTGGATTGGACATCAGTGATTTGGCATTGGATCGGAGATCCAATCCAATACACTTTAAACATAACTGGTATTTATTACTTTTTGCTGCTTTATTCTTAAAAAAATTATATTAAATACATTTATACCTGTGTTAATTTTACATTATTTATCTAAAGGCTAAAGCCTTCACTCACATGGCAATATACAGTACATACCAAAAGTTTGGACACTTTCTCATTCAAAGAGTTTTCTTTATTTTCATGATTATGAAAGTTGAATATTCACACTGAAGGCATCAAAACTATGAATTAACACTTGTGGAATTATATACTTAACAAAAACGTGATAAACAACTGAAAATATGTCTTATATTCTTCAAAGTAGCCACCTTTTGCTTTGATTACTGCTTTGCACACTCTTGGCATTGTCTTGATGAGTGTCTTGATGAGTGTCTTCAAGAGGTAGTCATCTGAAATGGTCTTCCAAAAGTCTTGAAGGAGTTCCCAGAGATGCTTTAGCACTTGTTGCTGATTTTGATGACTGCATTTCAGCAAAAGGCTATTAATCAGCTATCAATGAAAATCAGCTGTGTTGAAGCAAGAAAACCTCTACAACCTGTAGGACAGTGGTCCTCGAGGACCGACTTTGGACATGCTTGTGTTAAATATTTTCAGGGTTGACCAGTCTGTCAAAAGCAATATGAAGGGAGTGAACAAAACTTAAGTCCATGAGAAAGTTCCAAAGAAAAAATATTAATAACTTACAGCTTCTCTCCCCAAAAATATGTAAATTCTGTTTTTCGAAAGTGTGTATCCTCTTGTACATGGCATAAAACAAAATAATTTTATCTGAAATTATAGTAAATCGTCTATCCCTGGTAGTGTGATAGTAGTAAGCTGCTTTCCTGCTACAGGATATATATACCCAGCTGTAGGTGATGGAACCATAAATGATGGTCTCTACCATTAAAGTCAATGTTCAGAAATGTTACCACAGCTAAATTTTGCAGCAAGACAAAGATCTGAAACTCAGTTATAAGTAGTTCAAAAACTAAATCAAAAATAGATGTTGTTGTGTGCCCTCAAACTGAAAATCTCTGCAATGTGGTGGAATTCAAACAATTTTGGAAAGAATAGCTGGTCAACTGATTGACAGAACCAGTTGTTAAGTTTAATGGCCATTACTGTTTCAGATGTGGTTATGCTAGTTTGTATAGCCTTTTCTTCCTTTTAAAATGAAAATAACTTTGTCTTAGATTTCTTTGCTATCTTTAACACAAATATGTAACCAAATAGCCAAAACAGAGAAGTCTTTTTTTGTAACACTACTGACTCATGTAAATATGAAATTCAAGTTCAGCAGATTCTAACAATAAGTTTTTGGGGAGCTATTGAACCATATCTTTGGCTTTATTACCTCTCAAATTTTCTTGGAGCAGATACGAGCAGAACTGTAGAAATCTCTGTGTTTTAAATACAAACAAGTTTAAAACACTACAGATTCAGTAGATTCATCATGAAGGCTGTGAGCATTGATTTATTGATTATACGGTATGTATTATTTATGGTCTGTACAGCCATGTACTGTAAGTACTGCAACTTTTATCAAACAATGAATATATGAATACTGTAATACTTGTGGTTTGTTTCCTATCATAATTATCACATTTCTTTTAATAGTTTAAAATGGGTCGTTGATTTCTGCAGCGGAGGATTAAAGCACAATGCTTTATAATAAACGGGCCAAAAGCTATTTACTACAATATTACATATGCTTAAGGGGAGAAGAAGAGGAACACCTTCAAGGAAATGTTTTGTATTGTTCCCTAAAGCCAACAACTCTGCAGGTTGTTTTTCTTTGCCTTTTTTCTGTTGATGCTTTAAAGTCATCCCCCGCTTGAGCAGAAGGTACAAACTTTGCAGGTTGCCCATACTGTGACCTACGAAGTCATGGGGAGATTTTCCTTTTAATGAATGCATAATGCTTCAAGTATTGGAAGGTTACAGGGTTGACCTTAGCTTTCTTTGAAAATATAGTAAACACATATGAAAGGGATGTAAATGCAGATAAGGGGGGTCTAACTGGTAGAATAAGAGAATTAGGAATTGTTTTCTTATGACCAGAAAAAATGCTTTTAAACTCAGTATATTTAACTTGTGCCTTGACATGCATGCAGACAGTCTTGTTTATAGATGTAAAGTTGAGGAATTACAAATGTTTAAGGAAATTGCATGGAATAATCTAGTTATATATGATAAAATTCACATTAAAAAGGATTGATAATCTTTAATTTCATCTTTTTTCATCTGACTCAAAGTTTAAATCTGAACTTGTTGTATTGTAATTAAAGGTGAAACACTGGATTTATGTGTACAGTACCTCTATGGAAGTATGAAAGGTCCAAATACAAAAAAATTACCACGTTAAAAGGAAGGGAAAACAAACAAGCTCCTGTGACATTTAAGGAAGCCTTTACAAAGTTGGGCGTCATTTATATTTGAAACTGTTTGATGTATATTTTTCTTATAAAACTTTGCCAACTTTCCTATCTTTCACCTTTTTAATTTCCCATCCTGCTGACCGAGGCACCATCTGCAGTAAAAGTAGTGGCTATATCTCTTCCCATTCTTTACTTTCTCCTCTATCTCTCTCTCGGTTTGTCTTTTCTCTGACCTCCTGTATAATTGAGGTGAAGAAACGGGGAGAACAATCAGGATTTTTCTCCCCCTCATTTTTTAAAGAAAACAGATCGGTAATCGGAAGCGGAAACTTTTTCACACATTGGAGTAAAACAGGTTTCAAGGCTAAATTTAAAACTACACAGGGCAGGATGTTTCTTTAGACCTTTTCAGGTCCTCTGAGAGAATTCAAGCAGCAGAAGAAGTTGGAGCAGAGCCTCAGGGAATGGAAGTGATGTAATGAGGTTCAGTCCACTTTATAATTAAACTAGCAAAGTCCAATAATTCTTGTTCCAAAGCCTATGAGAGAATCAAAGGGGCAGAGAATATAGAATCGTGATCCCAGCAGCACTTTTTGTGTTAGTTTTGATTATATTCCATTGCTTCTCTTGACATCTTAATTAGTTTCATGATTGATTGGGAATTTATTTTTTCTGTAAATTCTTTCCCCTAGTTGGAGCTATTTGGTAAACCTTTTGGTGTCAGAGTTTCAGAGCAAAATATATGATTTTTTTTTTGTTGTTCTTTAGTACCTCTGATCCCAGCAAGGAATCTTCGTTTTTCGGACGTGGACCACAGCTCTGCTCGCATTACATGGGAATCCCCTTCCAGGTTGGTCCGAGGTTACCGCATCATGTACGTCAAGACCAGTGGAGTCCAAACTAATGAGGTGAACTTTCTTGTTTTCATGTTTTTGACCTGTTGCTCAAGATAAATAATAAATCAAACCTCAGGGAATCTTCTCAAAATGAATTAGATCTTTGGTTTTCCTGTTGAACAGGTGGATGTTGGTTCTGTGACGAGCTACTTGCTCCGAAACCTGACCTCCACGACTGAGTACACGGTCGGGGTTTTTGCAATCTACAAAGAGGGCGAAGCTCCAGCTGTGACCGAAAGCTTCACCACACGTAGGAATAAAAACTTGAAGTGTTTATTTAGCAACATTGTAATGAAAAATCAAACAAAAAAAATAACCTATCAATTTTGTAGAAACTATTCAGCTAATTGTTGTTCTCTGTAGAGGTGGTCCCGGATCCGCTGGATCTGAAGAGCAGCGATGTTTCCTCAGATGGCTTCAGGGTATATTGGCAACACCCGGCCTCTGATGTGGTGCTCTATCGACTCATCTGGACCCCAACCGATGGGGGAGACAGTGAGGAGGTTGGTCAATTTTTTATTTATTTTTTCATCTAACTTCAGTAACCTATGTGATACAATTACCGTACTGATAAATTAAAATCATAATCTAAATCTTATTTAATGTTATTTGTTGTGTGTGTATATAAATAAATGTATATATTATTTTCCATTGATTCAATTTATTTAGAACAAAGTGACTTTTTTATTGATCCATTTATTTATTCATAGATAAAGTATATTGAGATACCAATATACTGCCTGTCTACATTTGAAGTATTTTATATCTTATTTGTGATTAACCTTATTTTATTTGCTGGTAAAATTCTTTATGCAGTTTGTTTTCGATGAAAACAAAATAATGTGATGACTTTAGACAGATTTTATTTGTCATTTTGTTTACATAAGTGTAAAACAAAAAGATATTTAGTTTGGAAACAGCTCACTGGACAATTTCATCTTTTTAAAAGTGTAAAATATTTAAAATAGTAAAAATTACTGTAAATTTGCAGTTCTAATAAAAAAATATATATATATAATTATAATATATATATATATATATATATATATATATATANAATACAATACAATAACCCATTCTACAAAACATTCAGCAGTCTGATGGCAGTGGGGAAGAAACTGTTGTGGAATCGGCTGGACCTGCATCCAATGCTTCAAAGTCTCTTCCCCGAGACTCTAATGTAAAAGTCACAGCTTTATATATATATATATATATATATATATATATATATATATATATATATATATATATATATATATATATATAATGTTTATGAAGTATGAATTCATTTTAGCCAATCTTACGTGCAAACTTGATTATCCAAAAAGTTGCTTCTTTAAAAAGTGGTCACATAATATTCAACTGGGCTGTTTCACTATGCTTGCATCAGAAAGTCCTCTAGCTGTAAAAATGCACATTTGGTCAGGATCTCGTTTTGCAGCAGTCTGTTGGATTTTTTTTTTTACCTCTATGAAAGATGCAATTCAATAGTCCACATGTTAGGTGCTTTGATTTGTGGGATGTTCTTTTTTCCTTTTTAGTTTTTTAGATATTAGATGATAAAAAAAGAAAATCTTTTGAAAACTAGCAACAGCACACTTTTATATGAAGTTCAAATGTAAAAAAAAAAAAAAAAAATGATGAAACGAAGTGTTGAAAGGTCTGTAATTTTGCTGCTTTCCATTTATTTTGTTAAAAGCTTTTGCACTTCACCATAGAAACATAGCAGGATTCAGTTTTTCAGAACTATCAAAAGAAAGGTCTGCATGAAAAGTCAAATATTTCATTTATGGCACTTCTACAAAGCCCCTTTCATCTCTTTGTATAAGCTAAAAGATCTGAAGATTTGTGATTTTTTTCTTTTTTTTTTTTTTTTTAAGATTTCGGAAAAACGTCCCTTAGTCTTTTGTCTTAGACTGCATTTATTTCACAAACGTAGATTATGAAGTATTCGCCATTTTAACTCAATTATGTTTCTCTAATCAAAACATTAGTGTGATCTCTATTGAAATTTGATTTACTGATTTATTGTTTTATTTTCATGTCTTTAGTTTATGATTTGTATATGGGTTTTTTTTCTGATTTATTTCTCACTTTGCCTAATGATAAATTGGTGATCTGTTAGTAGCTGTTTGATCTGGGTACCTCATGGAAACTTTCTTGTTTTTTCTTTTTTCTCGTTATAGGTTATGGTGAATGGGAACACTAACACTTATCTGATTAAAGGACTAGAGCCTGCTTCAGAGTATGAAGTCCTCCTGGCTGCTGTCTACGCCAATGAGGTTGAGAGTGATGAGGTGGTGCTGGTAGAAACCACTGGTAAATTAAACCCTGCTCATAAAATATTCACAAAGAATTCTTCATGTTCACAAATTCCATAAAATTTCACCTAGAATAAGTTGGTTTCAGGCTAATTAATTTATTATTCATTATTTTCAGCTAAGAGGACAACTACAGTTGCTACGACAACCACAACGACATTAAGTAAGCAATTCAGCCACCTTGTGCTGTTTTTCTTTCCTTGCTTCACTCTGCCTGGTCTTATCTTTCTCCACTAATTACTTTGCAGCTTTTCATGCTTGTAAAGATTCTCATTCCTCTGAGTCATGGAAACTACAGCAGGCTTGAATCAAAGGGAATTGGTCCTTCTCTCAGTTTCTCTGAATATTATTTGGACTTATGATGCCCCTTAGAGAATAATTCCCTATTTGCTTCAAAACTGCAGCTCTTGAACTCCTGGTTGCGCCAATGCAGACCTCCAGAACTGACAGAGACTCTCTATACATGTCAAATATGTTCAGAAAAACTCTGAACATACTCTGATTTACTTTGTTTACATGAATTGTAGATCTTCATCTTTTTTTATATTTTAGAATTTGCTCCAGTTTTAAGTTGTATGTCTACTATTCATATGCAGGTTTGAAAAAAAATAAAACTTAACAAAAATCTTTTTAATTTCTATCTCTTTATAATCACACTATAAATCATGACATGAAAGCAAAAGGTTAAATTGTTTTTCATAGTGGAAAATTCATACCATAAATTCCTTCTCTGAAACATGGTGGTGGCAGCATCATGCTGAAAGGATTATTTAATGTGGCAGAAACAGGGAAGCAGATACAAATGAGTGGAAAACATGTCTGCAATACAAATACATAATACTTTTGGTTTTTGTAAACATGGGCCTCATGAGACAACATTCTCAAATTGTTGTCATAAACTTCTCTTACTTTTTCTCTCACCTCAGGGATCTTATGAACTGGCTACATGAGATTCAGCACATGTTTTTAAACTTCAGTAATAGATTGTACATGATCATCGTAAACATGATGCAGTTAACCTGTGCGTAAGTGAGCATATTTTCCTAAAAAATTTAAACCTGCATATTTAACCTGATATAAATGGGCGGACTACGACTTCCCTCACTCGTCGGAAGTTGTTCGTTCATAGAAATGGCTTTGAAGACAAGCTCTCCTGATTTAAAGCTGAGCAGCATTATTCAATGACATGTCCAAGCCAAACCATGCAATAAATCACAAGAGCTGTCAATTTTCTGGTTATACTGTTACAGAAGTAAAAATATAAAATAATATAAAAAATAAAAAGTCAATTAAAACTACTGATGGAGGCTAGAGGTGCATTATTTGATGTAAATGAAGCATCAACCAAAAATCAACCGAAATGACAAAATATAAAGCAAAATATCCTTAATATCCTCTTTATCTCTCTCAAACACCACATAAACATAAAGATCTTACCAGCAAAGCTCTAATTTAAGACAAACTCAAAAATCAACATTTAGTATAATAGCAAATCCAAGCAGCTGGCATGAAGTGAAATTAATACAAGTTTTACCGTTAGAAGAGTTTTGCTGTTTTCTTTTCCAGATGTTTTTTCAATAGTAGCTCGATCTCACATAGAGCTTACCTACTGTTATTTCTTTTGATGAAATGACAACAAATTAAATCAGCGTCCCCTGGATATCGACATACCACCTGCAAGTGTAATGGCTGATTGTTGTGTCATCAGCAAATAAAAACATAATTTATAAATGCAAAGTTGCATAATGTGTCATGATGTATCCTAATAAAATGGACACCTACTTCTAAGTAACGAGAAGTTTAGTCATTTAACAGCTGACTGTTGGAAGACTAATACGTCAAGTCTGCAAGACTCGTAAAATAGGTTCGTACCTGAGAAGAGACTCTAAATAGGAGAAAAATGGTGAATGCAATGAGGCCCATAGGTCCTTTACTTTTCACTTCTAATATATGCACTACTTTATATTGCCTCATTGGATTAAATAATTGGTACAAAATAACTTTTTATAAGTGCTTCACATCCTAAAAAATTGAACTAATTCAGTTGATTCTAAATTACAAGTTTCATGTATCATTAAGATGATTGAAAAAAAAAGATCCAATATTTAAATTTCAATTAAATTTGTGTTTGAAATCTGCTTCCATGTCTTTAGATGTCAGTCTTTTTATTCCATCATAAAAGTTTGTGATACTTTCTGCACAGAATGGTGATGATATCACCAAGAAACCAATATGAGTTTGAAGTAAATTAAATGTCAAAAGATTTTGATATCATCATCTTTTTCCATCTCACAGTGTGAAAGTTTTTTGCTTCATTGGGTTTTTCTGACTGTGATCTTCTGAAAGATTTGATTTATTTATTCACTTTTTTTTTCTTTCCTCCCTCTCTGACCCTCCAGCTCCTCGTTATGCGGTAAAGAATCTGAGGATCGATGAAGAAACCACATTTAGCATGCGGGTGTCGTGGCAGGCTGTCGACTCCAGGAATGTCCGTCATTATCGATTGACCTACATTAGTGCCAGGGGAGATCGAGCAGAGGAGACGGTATGAAAGACAGCTTTATTGTGATTTTAGTTCTGTTTTCTTTTTAGAAAAAAAGAATGTCAGTTTTTATTTTCTAAAATAATGTGGAGTTCATACCTATTTGTCAGCCAAAAAGTGAAGTCATTGTCTGCAAAAAATATACCAAAAATTATACCTTTTTTCCTTCAAATAATTGTGGAATTTTTTTCACCACAAAAGATTTAAGAAGAAAAATTGTGATGATTCATTTTAGCTTGATTGGAACTAATCTCAACTATTCTGTACCTTTTAAAATAGCATAAAGCAGCTGTGAAGTCCACATAGCACCAAGCTAAATTGGAAGAGGAATTAGAAAAAATCCTTAGAAAAGTTGCTGTTTTTGTTGCAATCCTCTAAAAAGATGTTATTGCTTTGCTTTTGCCTTGATTAGCCCTCTCCTCAATGTGTGCGATGATCAGTTTAGTAACTTAGGACCTTATTACTTCCGCCAAGGAGGTTATGTTTTTATTGGTGTTGGGTTTTTTTCCTGTTTTTCTGTTTTTACTATTTTAAAAATAACTAAAAAAGTTATGTATGGATTTTGCTGAAATTTTCAAAAAAAATGTGCATTTTTGGACTGGCTACAAATGATTACATTTTGGTGATGATCTGGATCATCATCTGGATCTAAGAATGTTTTGAAAGATTCGTTGAATACAGGTATTAACTCAAGGTGGCAGTAAAAACATGTTTGGGGAAATGTGCTACTTGGTGGGGTCTGCACTCTCTGTGTGCTTTTCTGGTTCATTTTATTTTTTAAAGGGTTCAAGCGTTTTAGACTTAAACTTTTCTGATTGTATAAGCTGTTTTTTTTTTAAGGAAAAAAAGCTTTTTTCATGTCTAATATTTGATGGAAATCAAATTAACTTTTCACTTTTATTTACCATCTTGGATTGCATTTTTTCACTTCACCTGGTAGATTGCTAATCCAAATAACACAGAACAAGAAAATAGGTTTTCAAAATAATGGTTAGATTATCGTACATGTACCATTTGAGATTATGTCTACATAATATCAACCTTATTTTATGTAGCACATGACCTAAGAGGACCTATGAGTCTGCAATGATAAGTAATAGTATTTTAAAGCTGTTTTTTATCTTCTGTATAAAAGCAGCAATAAGTAAAGAGCCTTCTTTAGATCAACTGGCAAAGGCCGGCTGTTGTCAACTTGATTTTAAATACCTGTAGTGATATTCTTCTTTTTTACGTGTGTTTCATTTACTGTACTCCAGCTTATCCCTAAAAGCTTTTGAAGGGACTGTTATAAACAGTCCCCTATGCATAACAGGGCCTCATATCAGTACCGATTTTTTAGAACAAAAGTGCAAAGGGAGATTAAATGTTGCTCTAGTTCAAGGCAGTTCTGCTCACGGTGATCGTTTTGTGATAGAGAAGAGGATAATGATGAAAACATTGTCAGATCATCAAAGACTATGTTTGATTAGATGTTGAGAAAAATGGAGAGAGTAGCTGGATTCACTGTAATGAGCCACGAGAGAAAAGCAAAGCAGGAAGACTAGGAGAAAACAAAATTTAATGCAGAAACACTGTTCTCCCATGTGAATGTCTACTTTGTTTAGCTCTCTTTAAGTTTATCTAAACTTTATTTTACCGGGAGAGAAATCCATTGAGATTGCTAATCTCTTTTAGGATGTCCTGGCCAAGCTCAATGTGCAAGGTGCACAATGTGCTGCTATATGTCATCACGAATTTCAATATCAACTTAACAATAAAAACTTTATTTGACTTTTTAACCCAGGAAAAGCTCAAAAAAATTTAATAAGAAGAAAAATGGGACATTTTGCAGTCATGAGGAAAAAAATACTCTTTAAAAAGGGATGCAAGCCAAGCTGAATAAATGAGTATTTATTGAACAATTATATATGCTACTTGTGTCATCGAGTTGGAGAAATTGTCAGTATAACAGAGAGATCTCCACACTAAAGCATGTTTTTTTTGTCATGGGGTTCGCTATAAGAAGTCCTCAAAAACTTTGTACTGGAAAACTCCTGGGAGAAATGTCACAGAGTTATGTTAGTGAAAGAAAAAAAACAACTGAGCAAGATGAGTACAGGTTAACATAGGGAAAGGTGAAACAGTAACAGAATATTACAAATCCATTAGAAATTATAAACATAAATCTGATTCAATATCACACCTAGCAGAAAGCAAGTGTAGCCATCCAAAAACCAAATACTTTTCTTCATTATAAATTGAAGCTTTTATGAATCTAAATCGCATCTCAACATTTGATTTCCTTCATGCCTTTTGTGCTTCATATTGAAGCGTGCACCATGTGTGCACCATGCGTGCACCAACAGTTGTTGAATATCTTTACAGCCTATCATATTCAAATGAATCTTAGGTGGCAGTTATGTATTTGTTAGTGCTGATTTGTTGCATCACCCCAGCAGAGGCTGCAGTAACGCGGTGGTCCTCTGGACACAGGTTCCACAGCAGCTTTTCATTCTAACAATAAAAAGCTCCCAGCTGCTTGCACCAGCAGCTTGTTAAATGAGATCTCTTATCAAAGAATGAGCAGCAGGGTGCTCCATTTGGCAGTCTGGTCAGGCTATGAATCTCCAAGTGCTGCGCACAAAAGACACCCTCTAAAAGGCTGAGGAATCAACTGCACAGCTTCTTCTGCTTCTTACAGGTTCTCCCGGTGAGGGAGCAAAGAGCTGCATTACAAAAACAATAGCTCCATAAAATCTTAATAATGTTAGGATGATAGTTTTTAAATCTGTGTTTATCAGCAGAAGTTTGTAACTTTATAGCAGAGGTCACCAACAGAGTGACAGGAACTTCAGGTAACCTAATGTTGGCACAGTGAACTGAATCTTATCTTATCTGAATTTTATCTAACACTGATGATTGTCTTTGTTCATCACAGCTGCATTTATATAAATTTGAAATTGTCACTTACTGTAAAAAAAAAAAAAAAAAAGGGAGATCTGACTCTTCTAGGTTAGTTCTGATAGCCCTTCCTGATTTTTGGTACACTTCGAGTAGTCCTTAACTAGACATGAACCGGTCATGAATATATATATATATATATATATATATATATATATATATATAAAGACTTTTTGGAGTGAATTGGATACTTTTTACATTTTTTCCATTACGTCGCTGATCTGACGTCATGATCGTACATGGTTATAGGATTCCTGCAAAATTAGATTACCTGTTTGTCTGTACTTTAGTTGTGTCTTTCTTTAATTATGCATTAATTACTATAAAAGTACAACCCAAAGCCGGAAAATGAGTTGCCGGAGGTAAGGTACAATCCCTTCTTCTGGGAGAGAATTGCTACTGATGAGTGCAGAAAGATGTAAACATATTTGTTCTAACAGAAAAGTTAATTTTAACATTTATTTTTTTAGAACAGTGTGCCTTTAATAATTAGGGAGAAAAAAAAACTGTCTTTTTGTTTTTTTTCCATTTAACTCATTTGGTAGCAATCCGGATTTATTCTAGTTCTGCAAATGAGCTGATGGTACAGATCCTGCTACTGGTACAGATCAGATAGTGAGAACCCCAAAACACATGGGCTATGTCCAAGCATCACTATATAGGAGTTATGCCATTTTATATGAGTGTTCAAATGTGAAAGCGTACATCCTTATTCACTGGATGAATATATAAATCCCAGAATGCTTTGCAAGAGCTCTCCGTGCAAAGCATCATGGGATATTTAAAACTATATCACTTGCATTATTGCCACCTTTAGGTGCTACCAGGTACATTCATTCTACTTTTGCAGGGTTATGTTTAAAAAGAGCTGACCAGGTGATTTAGGAGGACTAACTTACATGTGTAAAAGGCTTTAAATCTTGTTTGACCTAGAACATTTTCCTGGTAAATTACTGGGACTTATGTGAAAAAGGGCTTTCAGTTTCAAAAAGCTTAAAGACCATAACAGCATTTAGTTGCTTTATATAGTGACTGAAAATTGTTTTATGCAGTGTAGCTTTTGAACTGTCTCTTGTTGTTTCAAATCATGCATTTCTAAGGTCAAAGATGATTCAACATTGTATGAAGTTCCTTTAATAAGTAGTGTTTAAATCCAGGAAAAGACAGGTTCAAGCTAATGCATTTTTTTTTGTGATAAAATCACAAGAATCCTTGAGCTTAGGATGGTTGCTGCCAAAGGCAGGGTGTTAGTTTAATTTGCTGTCATTTCTCTGCACCCACATTAGCCTTGAATTACTTTACTATTGTCTGTGCAGACTACATATTCAACGCTACAAACAGCAAATTAACTTCAAAACAAAATTATCTTATTGTGCCCAACAACTACAGTTCAGATGTCTTTAAGATGTATATCAGGTTACATTCCTGTCAGTTTATCTGTTACATGCAAAGGTAGAAAACATGCTAAGATCAGGGAATTGGTGTAGATTTGCCTTAATGTCCAGGGCTATACAGGGTCTTTCTACAAGGAGTTTACTGTTCTCTATGTGCATGCAGGGATTCCTTCTTCTTCCTACAGACCAAAAACATGACTGTTAGGTTAATTGGTATCTCCTCTCGTAGGTGTAAGTGTGTTGGCATGGTTGTATAGCCCCATTTACACCACCCTTTTAAAACCATACTGAGATCGGTCCGAGCACGGTAACCGAGATAACTGTAGATTGTAAATGGCAAGCGAAACTAAACAGGACAGCGCCAGACACAACCAAACCATGCTAACATGGCACTAGTTCATTGGTAGGGCTCGGCGGGGTTAAGTTCTGGCCCGGTTCTCAGATAACAAAGAGCGCTGAAGCAGACATCTCCTTACAGTCAACCATCGTAATCATGAAATTTCGGACATTCATAAAAATGCTTCCTACCTTGCCACACCGTTTCCAGTGGTGATTCTGCTTAGCAGAGTGAAGAACCTCAACTCCTGTCATTCTTTCCTGCATCTATAAGCCCTGATTAGATTATCGTTTGTCGTATCCAATTTCCAAAAGCCCAATCTGTCAAGTAAATTGACAAAAGGCTACCTTCTTCGCCTGATTCTGAGTGTGTAAACCATGCTCAGCACTGTTAACTGATCCAAGCTCTGCACGGGTCGGTTTTCAAAGGGTAATGTAAATAAGGGTTATGTCTCTGCCCTGCAATATAATGGTACCTTGACCAGGGTGCAACCCTCCTATCCCCTTACTGCAGGAGGTACGCACCAACCCAACTGTGACCCTGAAGGATAAAAGATAGATTGATGTCTTTTGACAAATCTTATGACTTTTTGATGTTGGCATTTTTTTCTAAGTACTGTATATTTGGTCTAAAAATACATAAAACATGTGGCTTGATGTCTTTGGACATGGTTTCATCAAGAATTTGTTTTTATGGACATTCAAAGGAATTGTTACCCTATTTGCTAAGGATAAGCATTTTAAACCACATTTAGAAAATAATAAACATTTGTTTTGTAAACATTTCCTTTTGAAAGTTTAACAGAACCACATTTTATGTTTTTTCCATGGATGGCAGCATTGTATTTTCTAGGTCTATCATAATAGACATTTTTTGTGTGTAGTATTACCTGCATAATTATACTTCCAGCTTAAAAGACAAGAAATTACAAATTTTCTATTTAATAGAAATTATACAAAATTTAGTCAACACTTTTGTGAAAAGTATGACTCCACATTCCTGCTTTAACAAAGTAGAAGTGTCACAAATCTCAGCCTGTATTTTAGTGGAAATGTAAGCATAAACATTGCCATCCAGGTTTGACTTATTTATACATTGCAGTTTTAATGCAGTAGTAATGTAGATTACATCTCTTTTCAATGCCAGATTAACCACTTTTGCATTTAATCACTCTATTTCAGATTTTAAACTGCCAAAGCAATGAAACAGATGCTAAATTTAGTGCTGTTAGCAACTAATAATTACCTTGTCATAATACTGGATTCTCAGAGAGTTTGCAAGTAATTCCTGTATTGCATTCAAAATTTTTTCCCCCATTAAATACCTACAATGCTCTGATAAACATTTAAAACTTGTTGTGGATTCATCCCAGCTTTTATTATAAATTGTTATCAGTCAAGGACATATATAAACAGTAGTGCTCTCCATAAACACAACAAGGCATCTGCTTCTTTTCTTAGTTAAAAACATCATACATAAGACACATTGTCACTTTGATAAAGCTCACACTTACTTTACACATGAGTCACAGACTAATAGTGCCTGGTGTGAAAAACGTTGCTACGATGAGAGAAATATTACATGGTTTTACAATAGATGGATAAATTCCAAATGGTATTTACATATTAATTGTATACACAAAACTAATTAAGTCTGCAGTTGGTGCTCAAACAGAGAAAAAATTATATTCTTCATATTTTGACTATATCTATGCCATATTTAGGTATCAGCATGTTCGAAGATGCCAGCAATATTTTGTCGCCTAGCGGGAAATACTTAACGGCCTCTACTACCCTAAAACAAAAAACCTCCCATGAACAACAAACCCAAACTTAAATCCTGGTTATGCCTCTGCCACTGCTTCACCAGATGTCAGTGTGTGCAGGGTAACCGTGGGGTAACTAAACTCTGCAGCCATCTGTTCTCAGACAGCTGTGATGCTTAATATACCAAAGTCGCTGTGCTGCTGCATTCAAGGCTCAATAAACAATGGCTGTTGGGCATAAAACTCATTTCTGTGTGTAAACAGAGTTCCTGCTATTTCATTTTATTTTGCTACATTTGTTTAAGTTCTTTAAAACTTTGACAGGGAAAAATATTTTTTTTTTCTCTGCACTGCAAAAAACAGTCTAGAAACTAGAAATAGGTAAACCTTTCGTAAATTAAATGTATTCCCCCTTAATTTCAGTATTTTTTCTTATTTTAAATGTAAATTGTCTTGCTCCATTTGCTAAGTGTCTCCCTTACCTTTTGAATTTAAGAACAAATGCCGTTATTTTAAGAAAACATTTCATTTTTTTCTTAATAACTTTTAATATTATTGAAATGTATTATTAGGTGCTTTAAATAATTAATCTCATTTACTTGAAGAAAAAAGCATGAAAGTTTCTAACCTGGTATATAAACCTTGTAGAATATATATTTATAATATATTTGGTATAAATTGTTTTTGCTCCTGCTTTTATGTCCTGGTAGGAAAATAATCTAACTGTGTCTCTGTAATTCTAGGAAATTATATAAAAATGTATTTAAGAGGGGATTCCTTAATAATTTATCATTTATACTTCACATAATGTGCAAATTTGTTCATTATTTCAGCAAATCTTCCTTTAAAACCTGGGTTTTCATCTAATGAAAAAATATTGTATCACCCAACATGAAGATATTCCCAATCCTTGCCAATCTTTTAGTGTTTGTGGTTTCAGTTAATTGCTCTGCAACATTTACCTACTGATGTAAATTACAATTTTCAATATTTCTACTGTACAAGAATTTTGAATTTAATTTTTTTTCCTAATTTATATGGAGATGACACAAAATTCAGGATTGAGTAAAGAGTTGATGTATTCCAAACGGTGTTCCTCCTTGACAGTTTACAGACTTGCTAGCTTTTCATCAGGCGGGAATGAAATTGAATCCTCAAGGCCCTCGGTGCTTGTCTGAATAACACGTCTGAGAAAGACTTTGCCTTTGGAGATGGAGAAAAAAAGTTTGCAGTGGAGTAAGGCCAGACTGTGCATGCCCAGAATGCAAACTGGCAGACACAGGTAGGGTAAGACAAAGACTTCTAATGGCCAGAGCTGACACAGGAATGTGACAGTGAGACAAAGCCATGCACAGCTATCACTTTTTTATAAGGATGGTTTCTCCTTCTTGCAAAACAAAAAATAGAAATAGAAACCACTGAAGCAATGATTGAGCCAATTCATGAATAAAGAAGTAAAAAATAACGGAAGGGGAAATGAAAAATTTGATTTGTTTTCCATTGAAATTTCAACTTGACTCTGGCCTTTTATTCTTTCCTTTGATGCATATTATTCTTATTTTCTGATTGACTTTGTCATGCTTTACATCAGGAAATTGTTCAGGATAAGATTGTTTCTCTGAAGTTGGTACAGATCTGGGCATCAATGTTACTAAGTTCAGAAAAGACCTTTGAGTTGCCAGCATGACTAGAGAAGCACTATATACACTCAGCCCAGTTACTGTTCCATTTAGTTTGATTTTTATACCTTTCTTTCCCCTCTTCTTGCAGAGGACGGTGCCCTCGGGTCAAACCAGCCTGGTTCTGCAGCCTCTCCTTTCAGATACAGAGTACAAAGTCACCATCATCCCTGTTTATTCTGATGGAGATGGTCCAGTATCCTCCCAAATGGGACGGACACGTAAGTCGCCAATTATGATTTTGATCTTTTAAATCTGTGCATTTTCTCTCATCTTTACACCTTTCAGCTTTTTACAAGTTTTGTTCTGGGTCAGTCTGACCATCATCTTTGCAACAGTTATTGTCCACACTTACTGGTGATTCTTGTGAAAAGCCTATTAAACACCAAAATGTTCCTCCTTTACAGCTACAGACGGGGATAACTGCATATTGTAGTGAAACTCAAGAGGGATGTGTGTTTGTTATTCATGAGCTGACTGGTGATTTTGTCTTTATTTGCAAAACAATTAAAACAAAAAGTGGATTTGAGGATGATATGATAAATGCACAAATTAGATTTGTGTTTGATTAAAGCATAGAATAGAATCAAATCAAGCTAGAAAAATGACCTTCCATCTTATTCATTGTAGCCTGATATCCTCTAAAAGGGATCATTGGATAAATTCATATTCAAATGGTTTCTATTATTGATTTTAAATCTATGGATAAACTAGAATAAAGCTGAAATTTTGAATCTTAACTGTAAACTAAAATAAAAAACTACTGGATAATAACCCATTTAAGCATGATAAGCATACTGTAAATGTAAATAAATTTACATAAAACTCATGACACATGAAACAATTTTTTTACTGAATGTTAATATATTTGATCATTACCTTTTATCAGCCTAAATATATTTTTTTGATCATATTCTGCTGTTACTACGTAACTGAGAGCTGAAAGACATTAAAAAAATTATATAATTTGATAATTCAAGATTAGTTTATGATGTTAAGTTAATTGTTTTGGATCAAGCATGGAATCATTGGAGTTTCATGCATAGATCCATTTTTGATTCATCAAGCTCATGTGTAGCTTTTTTCTTTATCTAATAGATAACTGATGTGCTCTCATCAGTGCTGTTATTTACTTTTAAAAACCAACATTTCATCTATTGATGTCAATCAAAGCACAACAAAAAGAAATCTTCCATAAGGATTTTCCATTACTTTTAAGTTTTAGCTGTTAAAATTAAATGACATGCATGCCTTTACATTTAGACCCTTAAGCCCTACTGCTTTTGCTTTTTTAGATGGTGGTGATATTCAAAAATATAAAATGCTTCCAGAATAATTCTTTGATTATAATATTGGATTTGAGGTACTGTAAAGCAGAGGAGGGTTCAACAAGTTTTTTATGCTGTTTCATACAGTATCCAAGCTTTGCTGCTTGTGAGTTTGTGTCACATTGTGGTTCTTAGGATGGACCTTAAAGCAGGCAGCAGAGGAAGAAAGATGAGCTGAGAAGTTTTAATTAAAAAATAAACAGCTTACATCCAGAGAGTGGTTCAAAAGTAGGAATGGCAAATATGGACATTAAAGGCTTGACATGCCAGGCAGTATAAACCTGGGGGCTGTGTGTGAAACAGACCGTATATAAAGCAAAGGGGAACAGGTGGCTGGCGTCAATTAGATGAGTATTAAAGCAGGTGGATCCAATAAGCTGAAGACATGATAGCGAGGATGAACTGAGAACTATGGCATAACAGAAACTAAATGGGTAACAAATCAACCTCTAAGTAAAGAATACCAGCATAAATATTTTCAAGTAAAATGAACTCAAAAATCCACCAGAAAGTTAAAAAGAATAAAGAAGCAATAATATAATATATTGAAATAGTAAAAGGAAAGGTGAGCTTATACTGTATGGTATAACCTAAATAGCAAAAATAACAACATGAATCAAGTCATAAACTGCAATATTTAAACTTAAGACCTCAAAGCAATTAGGGAAAACTCTTTGGGCTGAACAAAACAATAAGACAAGTAACAAATACAAACTACCAAAAGAAATGCAAAAACTTCAAGAGCTCTATTGACTATTGAAAGAGAAAGAACAAAAAGTTTGAATATCATTAAGTCACTAGTTTAAAAAAAATACGGTTTAATTCATATGATTTCATAATTAAACAGATTTACTGCTGCTGCTGTTATCTTAACTAAACTTTCTAAAACACAATCCTACATTCAACCTGCCAGTAAATAAGGCATCTGTCCCTCCCTGCATTGCACTAGAAACACAAATTAACCATTGATGAGATAAGTCATCCATGTTGTTTTCAGACCCTTTACTTTAACTTTTCCTATGCATGTTATTAGTAAGAAATAGGTTTATTCTGCCTGCTTGGGTTTCTACAATAATTACCAAACTGTGACATTTCATACCATCTTTATAGCCTAAAAACATTCAAAGTTTAAACTTTTTACTGATGCCCTCCTGCTCAACCCCTCAGCTGTACTTTTTCCTAGCTGATTTTCAAGTCTGCCTTCAAACTGACCTCTCTTGAAAGACAGCGGCAACGTCTGTGTGACTATTTAAAACTTTGAAACTTGTAAAACTCTGCACCACTCTACTCATTCTTTGGATGTACTTTTTTATATAATATATGAATTTCCTTTAAAGGTTTTAGTTATGACCTTTGAAAAAGTCAGTGTTCACTTTTTAATTTGTTATGTTAAAGGAAAGCTCTTTGTTTTCACCTTCAAGCTCTCTCTGTTTCATTTTCCTGAAAAGAGATCACTCGGGACAAACTCTTGAAATAACACTTCATAACGCGTGTGTGTGTATATATATATATATATATATATATATATATATATATATATATATATATATATTAACTAACCATGAGACATGACAACAGATTTTCATAGAATTTGTGATCTTACTCAGATCAGAGAAGTTGCTTAGAGTTACAGAAGGCAGCTGCTCACCAACCGGGAAGTTGCCAAGATTAACAGTTGAAGAAGCACATCATCACATTTTACATCACACACGTTTGCAGATGATTAGACATCCATGCCTCCAGCCTTATCAAAATATTACACTTTGTTCTTAGCTGAAGGACAGCGCTCTCATTCCATTACCAAATCTTTGCCACATACTAAATGAAGATTATAACAGTATATAGCCGGACCGAGGAACTGGCCTAAATAGATTAACTACTGGGGAAAACCTCACTTCTGACACGCAACAGGCAACTAATATTAAGGTGTATTAAACTCACACATCATCAATGACAATTATCCTAACACTTATCTAAATCTAACCTTAAGTTTTAGATGAGTTGAGGCTTTTTTGTCCTCAGAATTGTTATCTATACAAATAGTGTTTACCTTTGAAAATTTATGAAAAAGATCAGCAAAAATACATGTATATCTGCCAACAGCATTTTTTTCCTATAATGTAATTAAATCAAATTATTTCTTTAAAGCCTAAATACATCAGAAAATTTCACAGTCACTTTAAAGTAAGAACAATAGGGAAAAAATGTCAAATTATGTCAAAATGTTCTTATCAGCTCATTACAGTCAGAACTATTCCATGGTCATTTCAAAAAAAGTAGCGCTCTATAACAAATAGTTCTACATTAATTATACTTCCTGAGGAGCCCAAGACAAAAAAGGGGAGATTTGATTTCTCTTCCTTGATGTGCATCACAGAGCAAACACTTGACTTTCAGTGAGACAGTAGCTCTAAATTCCAGTCATTTGTCTTTCGCCTCCATCCCATCGTGTCTCCCTTAGTGCCGCATTACACACATTAGCAGGCGTTAACGACGTTCCCCCGATTTTTAAATGACGGGTCTCGACACTCAGTGATGATGAATGGTTCCTGTTAGCAAGTGAAGGATGAGATGATGGCCTGAGGAAAAATGGCAGGGAATGTAGAAAAGGGGGTCCATTAGGTTTTTTCTTTAGCAAAGACAGATGATGGGACAAGGAGAGCCTGTATAATCTGAGGATTTGAATCAGGGAGGGGTGGAGTCAACACAGAGGTGGGTATGACAGGGAATACAGAGGGGGTGATTGGGTATTTAGAGGCACACAGATGATAGATAATATGATAGCTGAGGCAGACTAATCGGAGCTCCTGATCCACTGAGGAATGGGATGATTGTTGAAGGTATTCAGAGATAAGGAGAAGCATTCCAGATATGAAGGAAATGGGAAAATAATGTACATTTTGTATTATTGGTGAAGTTTCTACAAACCTGGCCAAATATTCTCAGCCTTTTTGTTGCATTTCCTTGTGACAGCTGATTTCTGTGAATGCTGCAGTTTTATGTTTAAGATACGATTTAAAAACAATCTATAATGTGGAAACATTTAACTTAAAGTGTATTTATCCTTTTTTTGAGTAGTTAAATCTGTCAATGGAATTAGTATTTCTATGCTAAATATAAGGTAATTAGATATTATACACTTGAAATTAGGGACTGCCGTTCTTTTTTCTTATTTTAAATGTAAATATTATTATTGTCTTGCTTATTTTCACTTATTTTTACTTATTTCACTCTCTGCTTTGAACTTATCCCCTTGTGGAGCAGTGGGCTGCCATTGTGCGCCCAGGGAGCAGTGTGGGGTTAAGGGTCTTTGCTCAGTGTCCGAAAGTGGCAGACTGTGGGAGTGAGGCTCGAAGTCGGAACGTCATGATTCCAAGCTTTATGCCCTAACCACTAGGCCGCCATTCCCCCCACACTTAAATTGAAGAAATTGAAGAAAGTTAACTTTTTGCAGTGTATAAATCATCTTGTGTCTAGCTTGAGCTGCTCGGTTTTAAAGTTATAAAGCCAAAACCATTTAGAAAACAAGCTTTTTTAACAATATCAAGTCAGAATTGTGTATTAATTTAGTTTTTACTCAATATTAGTAGAGTAATTGACCCAAATGCTTTTAAATCTTAGCCAAAATAAATCTCTAAAGCTAAATTATCACTGGAACCTCTTTAACACGTCCGTTGAATCGTGAGAGAGCTTCTGTGCCAGGAGAGTTTTTATCAGACCTCCAGTTTCCCTTTTATCAGGCAGCACATGCGGGAGGGATGGCACAGAGCACAGAAAATGATAGGAATTTCCTCAGGTCCAGGAAGGGCAGCCAAGGATAGAAAACACAACAGAATAGCAGGTTAAAACTTGAGGATGTAAACATGCGAGTTTGTAGCCGATACCGATGGGATTGTACAGCACAGAAACGCATGATTGGATTTTAATGCCGAACGACTGCAGAGGCTGAGGAGGAAAGACGGGGCAGAAGAGACGGTGTAATTGAGAGATTTCAGTTTGTGAGAAGCCAGCTCAGAGTGCAATGATGGAACATGGACGGAGTGTCTGGAAGATTTTCAGCTTTATCAATGTGCAACTGAGCAGCTGGCAGGTTCACTCAGGGATATAAACCTGTGGGATCTCACGTTTTATGGTTAAAGAGGGAATCGGCCTCCAATGAGCAGAGCTCATAAATGTACATCAAGGCAATGATTTCCTCATCAGCTACACATTAGACAATGAGACAAAGTTCTTTAAATTGCAAAAATACTAAAAATAAGACTTCTGTATGATAAAGTCCCACCTGCACCTTTTTATTTTAAAATAACTTTGGTTTCATATATTTTATAACTGATTGTTTTTTAAATACATGAGATATACACTATAGAATAAATCCCTTTTCTCTTGTTGTGCGAAGAGGACATTTTATTGATAAAACTTACATTTTTATTTGCTTTATTATCTTTAAGCTTCTTTCTCTTCAGTTTCCAAGTTTATTTCCTCTTTATCTAGTCCAAAATAAAATGAAATAAAAAAGTATTAATACTTTAATATCAGGGATTCAATTTATTTTAATTGCTTTATAAAAGTACTATTTTGTCTCTTTAAACTTTAAGGTTTATCCAGATTGTTCTATTAAATATTTTTTCAAACTCCAGCTCATTAGAAAACAACCCTGACGTTTCCTTAATTGTCTTATTTTCTACAACAGTTTTCAGATTTCTGTAGGAATATGATAATTTTTCTATTTTTCCCCCCCCTATTTTTTAGTTCCTCTTTCTGCTCCTAAGAACCTGCGAGTCTCAGAAGAATGGTACAACCGCTTCAGGATCAGCTGGGACGTTCCTCCTTCCCCCACTATGGGGTACAGAGTCGTCTACCAGCCTCTTTCTGGTAATTTAGACACAGAAACACAAGCTAAGCCTTTTACTGATTTACCTTTAAATTGTGCTTTAATAATAACCTTCACTCTTATTAAAAACTTTCATCAGCTTTGGGATTTTGCAATGATTTGATGATGAAGCATGAATATCTGCACAAGAAATCATAAATTGTAGATGAATGTCTTCAGGACCTAACAGTTGAAACATGTAATCTAACTTTCTCTGTTATCAGCGTTCTCTAACAATGGATTTTCTGAATTGAGAAATGATGGAGCTCAGCAGATTTCTGAAGCCTTAAGCTAATGCCCTACAGCATCTTCCCCTCCAGCTAATGCCTCAAGGCTACATTAGACACTATCAAATGTAAAATAAGCCCAAATCAGCAGAGACTCATTTGAACTGAGTATGGTTTCCAAATGAAGAAGTACATCTAGAATATAGAGCACTTCATCTCCTTTAGACTGAAAACTCCAAGCCAATGCTTTGTGTTTTAACCCAAAAAGCATCCAAAATGATTACAATTATAATAGCAATGATAAACTGATCAGCATGTTTTCAAATTTTTATTCATTCAGAAACATAAAATAACTTTTATTCTCTGCTGCTGGAGCAAGGAGCTTATGCTCCTCTCTGAAAATGCTCATTAAAACCCATTTGCCTACCTGACCTTATTTTTAAATGACTGCCCTTTTACAGGCACTGGACAAGCTCTGGAGACCTTTGTGGGAGAGGATGTAAACACCATGCTTATTCTCAACCTATTGAGTGGGACAGAGTACAGTGTCAAGGTCATAGCGTCCTACACCACAGGATCCAGCGAGGCTCTCACAGGAAAGGCCCGGACCTGTAAGTTTGGCTTCCTTTTCCAATATTTATTTCAGTTTCTATCTTTTTTTTCCTTCTGCATAATTACCAAACTAACTAGAGGAAATTATTTTGATTTTACCTGGTTATTGCTTCTTGTTTATTTTGAATGAAAGAATTATCTAAAAGAAAAAAAAAAAAGAGCTTTGTGTCTCTACTCCAGAACAAATCATCAAACCTTTCCAGTGGCTCTCCAAAGTCCACACAACAGCCTTTGCATAACACTTTTTTTGTTTTATCGTTTTTTATGAAAAATAAGGCTTTGATAAATCATTTTCTTCTTTTTTTAAAACATACAAATGTTTTTTTTTTTTATTCGACAAAAAACAAAACAAGCACGTAAAATTAGGTCAAATATTTCACCAATGGCTTGCTTTCATTAATTTCTTTAAAGTACATGCACACCTCTACATGAAGTGCATACCATAAATTAACAAGTGAATCATCGGCCCTTAAAGTGGGAAACGTGACACCTAAAGCAAGACAAAATAAATTAAATGAAGCCCTTATTTATAAATTTAAAGCCTGATGATAATGAATGTCCAATCCAGTGAAATTGACATAAAAGCAAACATAAAAAGACTCTGAGTGGAAGGAAAATGGTTTTGTTATACATAATCAAATAATGTAATAATCAAAACAGCACTCTATCAATAGCTGTGTTTTTTAACTATTTATTAGTTAACTATTTATTAAGGGGTTGGTCTGATTTGAATTTAATTACTATCAATATTAACAGTATCTACATGATTAGTTGTGATTAAAAAGGCTCTACTGTAGGAAAAAGAATTTGGTTTGGCTGCAAAAAGTGCACAATACTACTTATAAGTAATCATTAGTTGTTCTAACATGTATCTAAATTTCTCGGGAAGCATTTATTCAGCATAGGATGTAGCAAAGATAATGTATAACTTTATAGTCGTCATTTAACAGCTGAGGAAACGTGCCATGGCTTTTTCCTTGATGTCTTTTTATAAGTAGCACCTGCACATCATCCCCTCAGCTGCTCCTAATGCCATGTCTTCATGCTGCAAACGTTCTGCACACATGCAGCACTTTGCTTGAACTACTTCACACCTGAATCTTAAATTATGGACAGCTACCATAAACAACTGACTTATTCAACGCAACTGTTGTAATTATGATAAAGAGCTCAAGAAAACGACAATTTCAAAAAGAAAATGTAAATCAGTTACTTAATAATGATGGATTATTTAAAGAAAAATCTTTTAATAGTTGAATTCATATCCATTCTTTTTATCCAATTGTTCCTTTTTTTCATTACATCTGAACTGAATAGTCACCTTTAATTAATCACCAGTGCAGCTAATCATCTACATACTGTATAATAGCAGTCATTAAATAAACCAAATATATGTGGAATTAAAGTTTTCTGATTGGTGAAGTAGAGCCTTAAAAAAGCTCCTTGAAAGTCTGTCTGGAATTATTTAATCACTTCCTCTCAGTAAGATTAAGTTAAAACCTTTTGGTCCACATTCGTCATAATTAACCTCTTCCCAGCAGCCTGCGCCGTTTGTATACAGCTTCGTTTGAACCTCAGATGTCACCAGTTTGAGCTTTTCTGAAAATCAAAGCCAACAGAAAGAATGTCCTTTTATGGTGTCCTTGGGCCAGACAGCTAAATCCGACCCCATCATCCATTTTCATTGCACTGCTTGTAGGGTGAGTGTCAGCTAAAGGCAGAAACATGTACCTTTTTAAATATAGCACGCATGCAGTGGTGGAATTTTTCACCAACTGCATAACAATGAGTAGGCATGTGGTGGTTGAATAAAGGACAAATCTTTCAAGACAAAGGGTAGAGCAAAGGAGAATAAACTGAATAAGATGGAGAGATGGCTTTGTATGAAAGGAAGGAAGGATGATTAGGGTATAGATATCCCAGAAGGGGAACACAGCTTCTCTGATATTGCTCAGCAGCATGTTAATGAAACCAGTGGGCCTGAAGAGATGAGCGAGCTGATGCGTCAATGTCACACAATCACAAGTCTTGGAGTTTTTGAGAAGAAAGTGAGTCAGTTTTGCTCCAGGATTTCTTCATAGGCTTTACTGTACATGTTGAGGTATATTCGAAAAAATTTTTTTTTAGAAAAATTACATTTTGATGCAAATAATCTGATGCAAATAATCACCTGATTCAAAAAGAAGATGCTGTTTTTTTATCATTTGAGATTCAAAAAGGCAGAAAAGGCTCTATATGCACAGTTTCATCTGAATAGTGCCTTTGAAACACAGCAAACAGGTTGAGATACAGGTATGGAGTAGTCTAAGGCCGGGCAAACCCTGTGAGATATTTCCAATCATTGTACTCTGCTACAGCTCAAATTGTACAATGAAATCACAGAGTTTAAAAGTTCACAGCTCATGATGTTTGTTCTTATACTTTATGGCCCGATGCTCTGATGCGATCTAACTGCTCACACAGTATGTCCAAAAACAACATGTCTGACTCGACGCAGAGAGATACGTTTGGTTGAAGTAGTCAACCTGGAAGAAGAGGAACTCCCTTATTTGAACATGCACAGTGTGTGGGGTTCTGGTAAATCGGCTCATAGCTCCTTGTAACTCTGCTTTGACAGCAGGATTTGCTCATGAACACCCTATGAGGGCCGACCTAATTTCTAAAATGTTTGATTTCTCCCAACTTTATGATTCCTGATCGGGAGGTGGTTATGAATGGCTATTTTCCTCATGTCCGCCCTGTATACCACAGGATGCACGATGAGGCTGAAACTCTGCCCGATCCAAAAAATTCTCGCTTGACTGGGGAATCGGCCTTGAAACGGTGTATGCCCGTCTTAAAAGATGGTTGGAATATCAAACAATTTCCCAAAGCTCAGCTCAAATCCATCTTCTGAATATTGGAAGATTATTGTACAGCAAACCTACAAAGATACATCTAAACTAACAAGCCAGGTAAAGAGATAACTAACCACAGAAGCAGCAAAGACACCCATGGAATCTCTGACATAGCTGCTTATATATGCTGCTTAGGTGGACAAATCTAGCACCGTTTTTGTATGTGGTTAGACATTTAAAGAATGCATTGAATTCTATGATAAACGGTAAAAAAAAGTAGCATGAATTATATTTAAAGGTATTCTACTTAATGCAGAGAAGCAACATGCAATTGTTAGGAAGTCAAATACTTCAAAAAAGGTTTTTCTTTTGGCTAAATCAATGGAAGCTTCGGGCTTGATTTCCAACTTATTTTAAACCTAAATTCTTATGTGTTTCTACTCCTAACCAGTGATGCTTTTTAAGGCCAAATCTCAAAGCACATTCCAGCCATTTGCTTAAATAGACCTTGTAGTTTTGTTTTTGGATTCTATGTGAAACCTGCTCTCTTTTTTTCTGCAAACTTAGTGTAGCCTTACATCCCCATATGTCTGCAAATAACTCCTTGGAAGTGCAGTCTGGTGTGTTTATAACCAACCAGCTATACACTTTAAGTCCATCATCTGGAGTCATGATTGCATGTGGTTTCTGTGAAGTGAGCTTGGTGCGGCTTTATGTGGCATTTTATAGCTACACAGAGAGAAAAAAGCTCACGGATCTCCACTGAATATTCCTAAGAGGTCCAGAAAAGTTTTATGTTGTCGATGTATTTCTGTTTACTCTTTATGTGACACAAGAACATGTCTACAAACAGGAGCTAAGCAACATGCCGCAGCTAAGACATCTGTATGAGCAACGTTTTCTGTTTGAGTTGTATATTTTTTCTAATATTTCTCCATCTTTCTGACAGTGTACCTGGGAGTGAACAATCTGAGCACATATCAAGTGAGGATGAGTAGTGTTTGTGCTCAGTGGGGGCCTCATCGACATGCCACTTCCTACAGACTAGTTATTCAGTCTCTGACTGGTGAGTAGGGCTACTCTTCGTTCATACCTTTGACTCTATAACTAATGTGTTGTGTCAAACTGAAATGGTAACACAAACAGACAAAATCTATTTTAGGCAGGAGTTAATAATATTTTTCTTTCTCAATGAAAATTAGTTTTGTTTTGTTTTTTTTTTGTTTTTTTTACAGTGTCCTGTCTGGCAATGTGGCAATAAGAATAATTGTCTTGATGCCAAAAAGAGCCCAACAGATTTTACTTTCACAAGTGTAGCAGTATGGCAATTGCATATAAATTGCTTTATTATAATTATGCAGGGAGTTTTACAGTTTATATGGACACTGCAATGTAAATAGAGCAGAAAAACAGAAGAAGAAAAAGGAAAAAAAGAAAAAAAAGAGAAAAGATGAACGAAAGAAGAGATAGAAAGGAGATAACGAAAATCAGTTTTCATGCATTTTTTGTCCCCTGCTTAAAATGCACTGCAAAAATGATCTAGAAATAAGTAAAACAATTCTTAAAATAAATGTATTTACCCTTCATTTGAGTAGGTAAACAAGAGGATATGCCAATGGAAGTACGGTATTGTTCCTTTATCTAATAATTAGATGATATGCACTTGAAATAAGATGATGCAATAGCTTTTTTCTTAGTTTAAATGTAAATTGTCTTGTTCCATTGTCAAAGTTTCTAGGTTACCTCCTTAAGTCAAGAAAAAATGCACTTCTTTTAAGAAAAAATTACTTATTTAGATTTCATTTTTCAGATTTCAGTGTGCAGAGTTCAGTGTATCCTACTAATATATCACCTTTCATCTCTATGGATTATAAAGCAGGTCTCAGAAAAAAGTCTCGCCAGTCTATAAAACGTGACTGCATTACCTAAGCTACATCATACTGTATGCCAAGCTGTAATTCTTCATATTTTCATACTAAATTCCCACTCTGAATATGTGAGTCAGTAGTGAAGGGGCTGTTTCATACTGCCATGCTTTCATGAGGAGGAGTTTGAATTCCTCATTAGCCAAAGATGACAGAGGTTTTGTTGTATCCCTCTTGAGATGTGCTGACAGTCTTAAAGGTTTAGCTGTAAAATCAAACACTGAGCCTTTCTGTTGGGGGCAAAAAAAGGTTATGGATTACAGCTCTGGTGACATTTACATTTTCTTTGTGGAGTAAATGAAGCCATGAGGACAAAAAGAGGAATTATGGGTACCAAATGAGGAGGTGTTCTGGTTCTGTGAAAGGCAGTGATTCATTCTTGTTGAGTCTGCTATAAAGATGAAGAAATGGAGTTGAAATGGACCTATGATGTTTTTCTCTAAACATTTAGTAGCACCTGGAATTGTTTTTTTTATTGTGGAAAAGTAGTTTCCGTGAAACAATAGAAACCAAACAACTCCTTCTGTTTAATGCTCCCTGTGGTACGAAGTGGGCATTCAGAAAAGCATTGAAACCTGCTTGAGTGAGACCCTACAGATATAAATGACTGTCAGAACCAAGTTCCAGCAAACTGTGGAAATGTTTCCTACACTGGCCTTCTTTGTATAATCAAATGTTGTTTTGCAGATAAAGGTGTTTTAATGTTTTACATAATTTACTAAAGGTGATAAAAAGGTTTTCTGTCAGGCTTTAAAAAAGTTTCAAACATGGAAAAGTTTACTTTCTTTAACTAAATAATTTTTTTTTTTTCTTGTGCAAAAGTTGTAGTCATCTGGGTCATTGGACCATAAAACGGGCCTAAAATCTGATAAAACCAGGATTTCGTTTAGATGTTCTGAAAATGTTTTGACACCTACCCTGGAGTTTATGATAATTGATTTGACACCAATGTAAGATTGCTCCATTTTTTTTATGATTTTTCTTTGTAGCATTATTGGAATGAATTTACCAATATTCTCTAGGATATGAAGTAGTAGTATCCAGTCAGGTCTTCATTTTGACTTGTAAGTTTTATTGTTGATTTCAAATCAGAAAGTTTTCACAACCAAAGGACCAAATAGTCCCTGATAGATGTAATGTCAATTATTTAATTATGAAAAGCCTGTAACAAAAATATAAGTGCAGTTTTCAGTAGGATTTTGTTGGGTCTACAGCCAACGTGTACTTGTAATACCCTGCAAAGCATTCAAAAGAACTGGTACCTGAGTCCAAAGGACAGTTGTAAATAGCTTCTGTAATGCCATTGCATGTAATTGGAATGTAAGAGTTTAATGCTTGGGAGTCTAAGACCTTCAAGATCTTTATTTACTCACTAGTTTTAAAATCCAACCTGTATGACATCTGGATGACCCACATAGTGCTCTCGCAGTCCTGGTAGATTTCCCATTAACCCTATAATGCCAAATATATCGTATTTAATACATACGGTTTCTGAAATGTTTTGCATCTGACACCTTTTGCATAATTTAATGGTAACCAGATATACCTGATAACAGCCAGTAGAAGACNTCTGACACCTTTTGCATAATTTAATGGTAACCAGATATACCTGATAACAGCCAGTAGAAGACTACACAAAAAATAATCTTGACCTATCGCATAGTAATAAATTATTAATATCAAAAATGTATTTCTGTTTTTTCTTTTTACATATTTTGTTAAAAGGGCAAATTAGGAATTCAAACCAAAAAAAAGTAATTTTCTATTTAGTTTTAGTTTTTTTCTTGGATCGGGCTTTAAAGGGTTAAACAAAGCTTGAATATTTTGGAAAGCCCCCATTGGCCATTATTATGCATGATGAAGGATCTGTGGGCATTTTTTTTCTTTTACAGGGATTCCAAAGGAATCAAAAATGTTTTAATGAGAGGATGTGGCCCTTTGGAGAATATTTAGCAATGTTATAGGAGAAAGTTTTCCTGTTAAGGTTCTAAAAAGTAGTGGTTCAATCAAGTGCAGCTGGAGGTTAGCTTAAAACATGTCTTATTATCGCATTTTGACCCCTACTGAATTAATACACCTAGAAATTCTTTAATTTTTTTCTATTTCAGTGTTATTTTATGTTAGTGCAATTAAAGCTCTGTTTATTTTAGGACAGGACTGTCAAACTGCAATCCCTGAGGGCTGGTGTCCTGCAACTTTTGGATGCATCCACCTCCAACACACCTGAAACAAATGGCTGAATTTCCTCCTTAGTATCAAAGTGATTTCTTAAGAGACTTAATTATTTATCTTAGGCAGAGGTGCGTCCATTAGTTGCCTGCCTGCCCTTGAAGACTGGAGTTTGGAACTTATTAGAGTTTTCGCACATTTTTTCATAATTTGCTAGAAATCATGCAGTGTTCAAAGTGTTACAATCTGACCCAAATCAAACAAGGTTTAAATTTTATATGTACTATCTTAGCATTTAATGGCAAAAAGGAAGACAGTTGGAAAAGAAAGCATGGAGACATTTCTTCTCTAGGAGTGTTAATACGATCTAGCGTTAATGTAAGAAGTTATATGAACAAATGCTGGGGCATTTCCTGAAAACCTTATTATTAGATCTTCTAGACCTAAGATGATGACATCTGTGGACATTAAAGAACTTTGTCATAAAGTTATTTGGCCCTTGAGGACTGGGACAAAATGATCCAACACATGTGGAGTTCCAGATAATATTCTCAGATTTTATTAAATGGGAAAGGACAGTACTGTATGTTCTAACTCATATTTCTAACTGTCCCTCTTTTCTCTGATTTAAACCATTTTGTAGGAGGCTGCAATAATTGTAAAAAGTTCAAATTCAGGTTAAGCAGTAATGTTTTCATTTTGTCTGTGGTAAAGTTGACCAGAGTCTTATCCCTATGGTGAGGCTGTGGGGGTGATCAGAGTTTGCACATGTTGCAGATCTGGAGAAGGCTTCAGACTAAGTCCCATTAGTTTTTTCATACAATGTGAGACAGTCTACCCACTCCTTGTATATCCAAGCATGAGCTGTGTCTGCTTTCTGTGGCACAAAGTCATGTTGGCTTCTGGTCTGACTGGATTTTGCCATCGCTTCATCACCAATCGCGTTATCCAAGACCTCAAGGTCAAGCTGTGTGGAGAAATGCCTCAAATTTACAAAGCGAAGGGTTACATCTTAGCTTTTTGGAGAACATATGCATCTGTCAGCCTTCATAGTTGTCAACTGAAAAAAGGTGGATTGCTTCCTGCAGGTTCAGGGTCAGTTTTCACCTCAAGCAGAAGAGACAATAAATAATTTCATGTCTTGAGAAAGGATAGATGAATAATATGGGCTGTGCTCTCATGTCAAAGGAGGTGAACCCACAGAGATAATCTGTAAATTTACAGTCCCTGTATGTCAGATTTTCCATTATGGTTGTGAGATTAGCTGGACCTCTACCATAAAAATGGTTACATGCGACAGTTTGAGTATCTGATCAGAGTGCCTCCAGCTTCTGGAGGTTTCCACTGTCCAGTCCACTTAGAAAACCTGGAAAAACTCCCAGAATCCTTTGCAAAGACTGTATCCAAGTTGGCCTGGGAATGCCCTCTATTCACCTAAGAGTACTTTTAAAAAGCAAAATTGGGGAAGAAATTAAGAAAAAAAAAATTTAAAGAATTGGTAAAAAAAAAAGAAAAAAAAAAAACCAAAAGAAAAAACAAAGCAAAACTTAAAAAAATTTTTATTCTTTTACACTTTTTGGTCTACCCTATAGTTTTCTCAAAAGTACAAAATAAAAGGTGTTTTTTGTGATATTCAATTGTATTTAATTGCTAAACCATAAGAATAGGGAAAATAAGTAAGACGGTTCCCATTTAAAATGTTTGTATTGATTCTATTAATATGAAGTCACCCTTAGAACTGGACAGACAGACACTTTTGCTTACACAGCTTGGTTTTTCTAGATGTTTCAACTTTAGAAATATCATCATGTGGCTCAGGGTGTGTTTTAAGAAAGGTAAGCTTTTCCATAATGTCTCAAAATTACATCCAGAGTTTTCATGAACGTGTTTTATTGGAGTTTAGAGTTAGCTTTTATTTCAGTTTTCCAAAACAAATACACTCAAATATATAACCAATTCTAGAATTATTGTAGCAATTTTCTCGGCACTGACTCTCTGCAGCATGAAACAATAATAATTGTCTATTTTTCCCCATTTGAAAGGGACAAACCAGCCCAACTCACGAAAATAACATCAAACAACAGATTTGGTTTCCCTGATTCAATTTCTTAGGTACACCTCTCAGTCACCGCCTCAAAGATGAGATTGACTTTTAATACAGCCGTCATCCACCAAATAGGAAAGTAATGGCTGTTATTCATCACCTTTAGGCCTTCAGCAATACCACTGCCATCATTAACGTCACATAAAAGCCACATATTTCCCCACTTTTCCTCAGGGAGCTCCGATGTATTGGTTCTTTCAGCACACAAAATGGAGGTAAATGAGGATTTATGTCAGCACAGCTGGTATATAATTACCCTGGAGATGTTCCGACTGCAGGAGAAACTGGAATGATGTGCCTTTTATCCCATTTTTGATATGGAAGGTTATAAAGTGAGACAGAGGAAAGTAAATTTGGGAAAATTGAATCAAAAACTAACGTGGGTTGTAAAGTGCTGAAGAGTGTTTATGATATAAATGAGGATTGATATCATTTGATTTGATTTTCTTAAATCTATTAACCGTTTTTATATGTTGGTATGGTCAGACAAGATTGATCTTCTAACCATCATCAAGGTTTTATCCATCCCAGGTCTAATTTAATTAGAGGTCAGTTGCATGAACAAAACAAATTATTAATATTATTTATTTCAAACATGTTGGAAATGTCATGAAACCATTAAAAAACAATGTTTTGTTTTGTATGCACTCTGCATATACAAAACGACAATAAAATTGTTAAAAAAGGAAAAAGAAACAACACAATGATGAAGCTTAAACCCTTAATAACAGTAAAAATAAAACATTGCAGGGCTGTGCAGGTTTTCAATTCATGATCAAAGGGTTGCCAGAAAATGAACTCCTTTAAATGAAACATGTCTCTTCTAAAAAACTAGTGCTGGGTTTAGCTTTTATCAACACACAGCTTTCTCCAAGGTTGCTCTTATTTGGTCAGAGCAGGAGCTGCTTTTGGGTTTAACCTTCCACATTATTTGAACAACATGAAAGTTCTTGAAACCTAATTTCTTTTTTGGGAGCACAGTAGACTGTTTTGTTAACTTTCAATGCTGTTTTACAAAACTTTTCCTTCTTGTTGTTCAACAAACATCTGGATTATATGGAAGATATGAAAGTACTATTTGATAAAAAGTCTGCAATATTTTCAGCTTCATGCAATTTTCATGTGCAAAACTGCAATATACTTAATTCTTTCCAAACTAACCTGTGTTGACCACAAAGATACTATATTACTCAGTGATTGTTAGAGCTGTTTTTCATGCTATTGTAGTTAAAAATTTGTTATTTTTTCCAAAATGACAGTTTCTGCAGAAAGATCAGCCTTTCTTAACATCAATGTTAATTTATTCTTTTCTTTTGGGACTGCAGGAAGTCAGAAACAGGAGACGAAGCTCGGTGGAGGAGCCAGCAGACACTGCTTTAACAACCTGAAGCCCAACACTGAGTATAAGATCAGCGTCTACTCTCAGCTACAGGACGGGACTGAAGGACCTGCAGTCACAGCAAATGTGAAAACATGTAAGCAGATCCAAACACAGGTTCCAACTCCCTAGAACCAAAAGTAGTTGGTGCGTCTTAATTATTCAACAGTAAACTTTAAAGTTTAGAAGTACATTAAACAGATGCTTAGTGCAGATGTGCGGTACATACACTTGACTGATCAGTATTTGCATCATCCATAAAATGTGTCAAAAATTCCTTTTAAATAGGCTCCTGCAGGTGTGATCACAATATAACAGGAGCACACTCACTATGCACACGTACACATCCTCAAACTGCTGTCACTTGTTTTTGTTTAGAACGAAAAGTCTGCTGTATAATCACGTCACTTTTACCAGAAAATGTCTTCTATCCTTGAGGGAGCGTCACGTCCTCGTCCGTCTCTCAGAACGAGCCTTTTGTTTTGCCGCAGCAGCACCAAACACTAATCAAGCTCCAGTGTCTGGAGATGAGGCAGAGGAGGAGGGAGGCTGTTGGACGGGCGGGCCGCTTTGACATTTAGTTTGCTATGAACGTCACGCAGCATCATTTCAATAGATAGAGGCTAATTTTCATAGGAAGATTTGTCTGTATTACACTTTTGCTACTTTATAGAAATAAAAAAGGTTTATTTTTTGTCATTCAATATTTATACTGTATAACATCTTTCCCCAGCAGCTAATTCTGATGTATTTAAAAAGTTATTTCTTTGCATAAAGAGGATGTAAATGATAAGTTACAATTCCACATGTGATGTCCGCTGGAAGCCAGCAAGGTCAAGACCTGCAATTGCAATAATACCAACAGGAAAAAGAACGTACATGTAGAGGAGATATGGATTGTCAAAGTAATTTGAGTAACGATGAATATGTAACTACTAATTTTAGCATAAATTTTATATATTCCCAAAAAATAAGGCAGCTAGATTGGATTTACAATATTTGTAATTTTGCATACCGGGAAGAAGATTTTTAATTTCCATCAAAATATTTATATTATGCTGAAAGGCTTAGAAATGTCATCAAATCCAGTCACAACAACTTCCGAGGGCAGATCTCACAACTTTAAAATAAAGAAAAAAATTCTTATCGCATGCATGGATGTTGAGAACAAATCATTTTAATATTATCCTAGTTCTCCCAATTAGAAAGACCCACAACAAAAAGCAAATGTTTGGGCAGAAACTACAGTTGTGATGGATACTGGTGGCTACTCTTTCGCTTTCTTTACCTCATATTGTTTTCCTACTATTCAGCAAATAATAATATTGTGCATGCTCTCCTCGAGCTCCAAAGAATTCAGAGCGGAGCAAGATAGGAGTGTTACAACCCCCCCAGCAGTTGTAATATTTTATTTAAAAAAAAACTAATGTAAATCTCTTAATTGTCCCACAATGGGGATATTTAGCAGTCAGTAAACTAAAACATGATGTCAGTAGAAAAATTATTTATTTCACAATTTGCAGGGGTCACAAAATACAGCAGACAGCAAAACAGGGAAGCTTTAAGCCTCAGGGTCTCTAAGGCCCCCCCCCCTACTTATAAAATAAAAAAATAAACCGCTTTCTTACAGAGAACTGAAAAGAAAAGTACAATACCTGAACTCCCTGGCTAACCACGAAACAAGGAGAAAACAATTGAACAAAAATGGCAGAGAACCCCTACCAGCTTCCACTGTGAACAGAAAAATGCTTTCATTAGCCAGCTATTCAAAATGAATCACACAGTAACAGTCAGCTCACAGACAAGATCACTGCAGATCAAGGCCCAGTGAATAAGAGAAAGGGGCCTGACATCTCAGGGTTGAAGCTCTTTATGAGGTGGCTGAGGAGCTGCAACACATTGCACCTGTAACAGCCAGGTAGACCTGAAACACAAAGAGAGAGCTCTCTCATGAAGAGAGCTCCTATGCGTCAGTGACCGTAACAAGAAGGAACCCTGAAAGCTGTAAGCGTTTCTTTGTGCAGCCGGTCTGGAACGGAGCTGCGCGGAGTGGAACAAGTCGATTACGGAGTATTTGGGATTTCGGGGTCAATCTTTGGCCCCCTGTAGCAAATTTGATCCAAAGATTGTCATTATGCTTCATTTATATTCCTGTTAACTCAATATCTATATTATTTTTGCCAACAGGAAGTATATCTCCATAGCAAAATCTCTCCACTTTCAGAATATCAATTAAATAGTGATCAGTGAGATTTTAAAGCTACCCTGCTTTAAATGTCTCCATAGTTTTATTGCTGGCCTGTGTGCTTGTGATATTCTTTGCTCGCTAATGTTCTCTAACCAACCACTGAGGCACTTTGCTTAACATTTGCATTCGTTCTAAATTCAGTTTAACTGGTGGAATCTATTTACTGATTAGAAAACTACTGGGCTAATTCCAGTTTGCTGCAAATAAATTTGGGTTTGAGATACAGGGTCTTAATACATCAAAACATCATTGTTTTTAGATTTTATTTAAAAAATTAAAATGCATCTAATCTGTGTTTTTACTTCCTCGACAAATTGATTAACATTTGTGATTTTGAAATACATAAAATAACAAACAAAACATTAAAAAGGTGTGGAGAGTTATAGCGGCAATATGTAATGCTAATTCATTACTACATAATACTCATTTGTGGCCACAACATGGGTTTATGATGAGAAAAAAATGCAAAAAATAATGAAGGCTAGTCTGATTACCTGCATTTTTGACTGAAGATGAGCTACAAAGAGATTTTGAGAAGCTTTGTTGCACAGGGAACTCTCATTACTAAGAGGCAGTTAAATAGAATATTAAGAGCCAGCTTCGGTGACCAAGGTCCAGATTTGGTGCTGGCTTTTTCACTTCTGTTCCAGTGTCTCACAAATTGAAACAAAGTTCCGCATTTGACTGGGTCAAATTATGGAAGGTCACAAAAAATATTTTCCTAAATGTGAATAAATCCGAGCTGCAGTCATTGAAATAGTCTTTCAATAAAAAAAGCTCTGTCTGTCTGTCTTTCTGCCATCTCTTTTATTAAGCTTCTCACCCACATGCAGAGAAACACTCAGGTGGAAACCAGAAATCAGATAAATGATTTTAAACAATGGTTGGTGATCTGAGATCTGAACTCTGGCAGCTTTGTGAGAAATAAAATTTGCATTATAACTAATCAGATTTATATCCTGGTTATCTACTGTTAATAATCAGAAGCTCTGGAAACAGAGTGATTGGGATTGTATTGGGTAAATAAAACAACTAGTAGCCGTCTTACTTTTAGAGCATAGTTGGTTGTTTAGCGGGGAGAGGTGAGTGGAGTCTGTGGTTGTGAATAGGAGATCCATGGAAACAAGAAAGTTCCTCCACCAGGGCAGGTTGGACCAAGAGACATTTAAGCTTGATAGTGCTGGACAGCAAGGCTGCGTAAGAGGAACTATTAATCCAGGAGGGACACAAATGGTGATATTAGGAATGATTTAGTAGTCCAACTTAATCTCTAAAGGAGAGGTTCTGGGAAATAAATCTTAAGGAGGGAGACTTGTTAGTACGGACTCACTGGGAAGAACTCAGTACTCTAGTTGGGGTCAATGTTACCATACAAAGAAAAATGCTGCCCAGCAGCAAGCTTATAGATACGCTCTCTGGTGGAAGAAACCTGTACTGAGAAATACCAAGGGGACAACACCAGACTTCCACCACTTTTTCTCTCTCTCTTTCTGGATAGCCGCAAAAAGCAAAAAAAACCTGCTGCTGCCCAACTGATATATTCATCTTTAATAAAAATATTTCAGTGCAAAGCCATTTAGTCTATGAGGACATGAAACACATATATGATGCATATGATTCACTAAAGCAACAAATAAGTTTACTCATTGGTTGTCTGATAGTATTCTGCACATCCTAAAGGCAGGGATATTTTTCCAGTAGTGCAGTCATGCTGGATATGATCTCTATGAGGAGAGGATGCGGGCAAAGGAGAAGGAGAAGAGAAATGACATTTTCTGTGAGTTTGAACATCTTTAAAATGACTGAAGAAGCCTCAGGTTGTCAGAGTTTATCTACATTTGGAGCGGTCCTTAAAGCGTGCAGGGCTTGTTACGTTGAGTCATTGCAACTGATCCAGAAATAGATTTTTATCCACTTGTTTATATTCTCTTGCTCTTCTACTGTTACAGTTTGTTACCTTTGTCATTACTATTCATACTATTGGTTATGTGATCTCACCCTCTGCACTGACCAGAGATGATTTCCCCTCCAGTTTAAATGAACGCGCAAGGCGACTTTAAGCATGTTTCCGTGAGCTGAGGGCTGACTATATTTGTCCTGTGTTTGTGGTCTGAATGGATGTAGCTAGACTGCATTCTTTTCTGCCTTCAGCTCACTAGAAGTAGGCTTAAAGGATGAATCCTATAGTAATAGAGCATTGATTACCTACTGTTCACCTAGGGAAAAGGAGCAGCCCTTAATACTCTTGGCTTCAATGGATTGCATGGCTAAAGAAAAGTTGATATGTTTGTTAATTCTCCACAACCAGCATAATTTGCTCACTGAAACTGTGATGGGCCATTCAGCAGATGTTTGTTGAACAAAATGTTGTCAGTGCTGCACTGTGTGACGTATAAACAGTGGATAGAAAGAATTACTTCTGACTGTAAAGGGCACTTTCTAAGATAAGAATTATAGAAGGGAAAGTTTGGCTAAACCCCCAACTGTTTTTAAGACCATAAAAATGCTCCTATGGTAATTAAAGGAGGGCACAGATTTTATTGTGTGACAAAAGTGAGTGCCGGCATAAGCCTGGCAGGGGAAGAGGAAACAATGGCCCCATTAGCCTCTGCACATTTTAACTGAATCATATTATATATTATACTGTTAGTATTCCCACAAACAAAGTATGCCATTGTATGCCCCCCATTTAACTTCCCAGGCTCTGCAAATGCTGTCAATTGGCCAAATATCAAAGTCAAGGATATCGACCATAAATAAAATCACTCATATATGCATAAAAAAACTACATTATTTTTATATTGTTTGCATATATAACATTCAATATTTTACATTACAAAAACAAATTAATAATGCATTTAAATGTTCATGGAGTGCAGTTATTAGCAAGCTAATTTGCACATTTCAGTTAATTCACGCAGAGTTACATTTCTGCATGTTTGCTTTTGGTTGGATTCTGTGATTTGTGAAATCTGAACAGCAAACAATTAATTTACATAAATATAGGTTAGATTTTCATAGAATAAGGACAAATAAAAGACAGAAAGATTGCTACTGTAGATGTGGAAATGTTCAGTATAACAGTAGAGGGGGAAAAAAACAAAGGGGTAAAAGAGGCAACAAAAAATATCTGAAAAACAGATATTTGTTTGCTTTAGGCTGCTCACAGACACACTGTGGCTCTACAGAGAGCCTCTTGGATGATTTATGGCTTTGTTTTGATGCAAATGAAAGCTTGAGCTTTTCCTCAAATGACTATCCCCATCGCTGCAGGCAGCCGCTACTGAACGCTCCCTACCTGCCATCACAAGTGATTCGAATCCTCAGGTAGCTGATTTACTGCCTAAACAGCCCTGAAAGCATCATGTCTGAATGTGGTTTATCTTTAAGAGGAGGAGTAGAAAACACTCACACAGACCCATGCTAAGAGGCCAAGGCCAGAGACAGCAGGCTTTGGCTCATGCCTGGAGTTAACACTATGATCACTGCACCAAATTATACAGGAGCTCACATCTTGCAGCTGCTTGTAGTTATTTTACACTTTCTGTATGACTATTTATATACATATGTGAGCTGTCTGAGGTTTGGAACCTTTCATCAGCTCATGTAGTTTTTTTTAATGAAAGTGAAACTGATTTGTAACGCCATTTGGCATATTGCTTTATAATGACCGGAGTCTTAAATTGCAGGTTTTTAATATATTCTTATGTTTCTCTCTTTACACAGTACCGATCCCAACAGCGGCACCAGTCAAGCCCCCAACCACCACCCCACCACCTACAATTCCTGCTGCTAAGGAAGGTGAGAGCTCATTTTGGCCTACTTGTCTACTACCTGCTGACAGAATGCTTGACACATTAAGCGCTGTGCCTTTTCTTTTACTTAAGTGAGGGTGTAGTAGATGTAAAAAGCCTTAAATCTTTATACATTTTATAGCATCTTCATAAATGCTGTAAGATTATTATGGTATTATGCAGAGGTTGCTACTAATATACACCCTTTAGCAGTTAATAATTTCAAATCATAAGCCTACATTGCCATTTTTTCCATAAGGGCTTATGGTGTTTTCAATCCTCATTTGGATCAGTTGTTTCTCATGAAAGAGCTTGAATTATAAACTGAAAACCAAAAAGAGGGTCAGCCTGTAGAAAATTATTTCAGAAACTTTTTTTGGCCGACAGTGGTGTCAGATGCAGGAGTTTCCCTGCATTTATTTAAAAACTACAGATTGGCGATGGCAGGGCGTCTAAGGCAGGAACCTCTTGTCTTAAAGTTCAGTCTGTGCCCTGAGGAATAATTAAATTGCAGTATAACAGCAAGGGCAGTACAACGAGACGAACGCTGCCCAGAGAAAGATCCAGATGTGGAAGTCTTAAAGACAGCAGAACTGACAGGAGATCGGATCAAAGCAGGCGAAGGAAGGCAGGACAATCCAGAGGACAAAACCAGAGCCGGTTTCTAAGAGGTCCACAGGAGACCGGGCCAGAACATTAGATATCTGAAGGGAATCCAGGTCGGTGTCAGGAAGTAGATCCAGGGTTTTCAACAGGCAGAATCCAGCAGGAGTCAGAAGACAGGTCAGGCAAACAGATCAGAACAGGAACAGGCAGGCTCAGAGGTCCAAAGGCAAATAGTTTAGGATCAGGCAATAAGAACACAATCAGGTACGCTAGAGAACTCTCACCAAAGGCTTGAATAATCTGGCACTGATGACTGGAAGCAGGCAGGTTCAATAAAGACTGAAAGACTGGCTTCTTTCAGTGAGCCCCAGGACAGCTGGGGCTAACATGTAGTTTGTGAATGACTGAATGTAGTGTAAAGTGCCTTGTAAAGTCTCCTGACTTTAAAAAAACGCCACATAAGTACAGGTTATATACCATTTTTGACAAAGTGGTAAGCTATGAAATGTCCCTTGATGAGTGTAAAGGTATGCATACTGTATAACTAATCTTTCTGTGTTAAACAGCTCTTTGTCTTACTGAGATCAAAATGAAATATATGATGGCCGTGGGGCAAAGATGCTAGTGTTTAAGTTTTATTTTGTATTACATCATCGTCTTTCTTTATTTTGCTTCCAAGGAGGTGGTTTCCTATTTAAAGCAGTCTTGACCAACAGATATCTGACCTTTGAGTAAATTAGATGTGTTCTTTGCATTTAGGCAAATTTTTTATTCCAGGGCTTTTACTGGTTACTGCTGAATGTGAAATACTGTGAACAGGATGATCGTAAACTCCTTTAACTCTGATGACATGGTTCTCTACTACAATAATTGAGGACTACACTCTTGGTTGGGGGTCAGTCTATGCCTTAAGTAGAGGGCTTTTAAGGAATTTGGTGTCTTTTTTATGTGTGATAGTAGAAGGCTGCAGGAGATGGACAGACAGATAAGTCTCCGGTCTTTTATGAAGCAAAAGGTTGAGTCAAAAATGAAAGCTTTCTTTTTTTCTTATGTTTCACACCTAAACTGGGATCATAAGATGGATCATAATCAAAAAATTCACATCCTGGGTACAAGAAGCCAAAAGCTGCTTTGTCCTGAATGGAGATCCGCAATCCAAAGAGGGACTTCTAAGTGAAAACCCTGCTACTCTACAGTATATCCAAAGTATTATGTTTACGTTACTTTGACTTCTAATCTCTTTGGAGGTTTTCATTCAGACAAGTCCCCTGGCAAAGAAACCCAGTGAAGACCCAGCACTTGCTGGAGGGGCTATATATCCAATCTGCTCTGGATAGACCTTGGGATCCCCCATAATGAGCTGAAAGGCGTCAGTTTAAGTTTTCAGATAAGAGGTAGCGATCAGAGTCCAGACTTAAGACTTTAGCAAAGCAAATCAGCATAAACTCCACAGTAAAAATGTAAAAAACTGCAAATATTGCACTAATTATTTTATCGATAGTGTGCTTAATATGCTTCATGAATCTAACAGTTTTGTATTCAGAAAGCCACCCCATAAACTGGAGGTGATCCTAACTCAGTTGATTAGTAAACTGAGTTGACCTTCTTAAGCAGAGTTTATTGAAGCAGCTGAAAGCGACGTTGAAATATTTTTTGCTAAAGATAATACAGACAACAGGAAAAATGAAATTATTTAAATCAATTCTAAGTTATGACTTTTTTCTGACTCCTTTTTTGAGGAGTTTATATGCTAAGCCACAGATTCTTCAAAAATGCAGGAATCAATATGTGAAATATATATATTGTGGAAGCTGTCTACTCTTAGTCTGTAATGATACTGCATATTTTTAAGAGAAAGTAGCTTCCCCCTACACACACATAGTCCTGAGAGCCTCTGACATTTGCAGTATTTAAAATATATATCTCAAACCGTAGTAATCGTTTTCAATTTCAGGGTTCATAAATGCAAACAGATAATTGGAGACTGGAGATGAAAATAATCCTTTGAATGTGCGCCTCGTGAGTCTTTACTGTTTTATAACTTTTCATTTCATAGAACATATAATTCAAATTCCTCACATCTGTCATCACTGAATCATCAGTTCCCAGTGTACCATTAGCTCTTTTATGCGAGGGAAGAAGATAACAGCATCAGTCTTGTTTACTGTCTCATAAAATGTTGTTTATACAGCAGCGTCCTCATTAGGAAAAGAAAAAAAATAATTTTCAATTAAAAAAACATTATAAAAACTGTAAAGCAATGTCAGTCTCCTGTTTCTTTAAAGAGAACAACATTTACAATGCAACTAAAATTCAGGCATTCTCATTTAGACGAGGTTCACTGGTCAAATATATTTATTTCCCATCATGTTTTCAGGTTCATGGTGTATGATGTTGCTTTTAATACTCTTTGGTTAGATAACAAGAGTATTTAAATCATATTTATTTATCAGCTTTAGATTTATTTTATTTATCAGGAGAGAAGTGTTTTTTCTACTGTTTTGTCTGACAGGTATCATGTGGTTGATTGGAAATTTTAAGAAGGCATGGTTAAAGCAGATTACTGTAATAATTTTCTTTAATTGCAGGATATGATTGTTTATTCTTGTTCTAAAATTAGGGGAGATAATTCTATCCTGTTTTTCAATAGATCTGAATACCCTTGTGCCCCTCGTTAAGCTTTGTTTGTGGCTTTAAAGTGTAATAAGCAGGATATAATAGCATAAACCCATCCCTTTACAAATTATGCCGATAAAATGGGCTGTGCCAAGAAATACAGCCATAGGGTAAGGCAGGGATGTGGTCAGAAGGAAAAGTAGAGGGGATTTGATGAGTAAATGATTGAAGTACTTAAAGAAAATCTGTTTCTGACTAATAGCTAATAAAATGCTCACCTTAAAACACTTTGATCAGTGTTTGTAATTTTCAACACCTGTCTCGCCACAGAGACGTGTGTCTGAGTGATGGTTTAATGCTACCCTGTACTTGGATGTCAGCTTGCCACATCAAACTGTCTTTCTACACTGAAAAAAAAACGGATACTTTGGATCAACTAAAAAATTGCTTTAATTTGTCACACATAAAGTAAATTTATTAGATGGTTGAAAGCATCAATTTAGATATATTAGAAATATATTTTTACCTTCAGACAAAGAAAGAAACTGCATTTAGACAAAGTGAAACTATGGGTTATAACGGATCAGAAACAAGTTTTATGCTTTATTATTAATACATTTATCAATTAGGGAAAAAATGTAATTACATAACAGTATAAATTTAGTTTGGAATAAAGTAGGGACAATAATTTTAAATTATATTTAATTCTTTGGTCCAACTATATAGTATTGACCACAGACAGGTTTTATAATTCATGATAACTTAGAACTGGACCTTTGTTTGTTTTTATTGTAAAAATCCATAGTTGTAATCTGTTATTGTTTTCTAACAAGCTACCTGGAGTGCCTTAGAGTTCTTAAAAACATCCAGACGATATCTGAGGTATTTAATTTAATGACAATAATACCTGCACATCATAAACATTTCTACAATGAGACTGAGTAGACTGCATTAGTTGTAACGCAACCTTGCTCATGGTGTTCTAGTGCTGGCCACACAGATCTGGATGTGGAAAGATAAGGATAAACCTTTGACTTGAAGTAGACATTTACTTGGAAACTATTTGTTTCAGTTGATTTTTTTCTATGATAAGAAATTTTGAATTCCAGGTAAAGTGAAATTACTCATTTCAAGCCACAAATAAATATTTTAAGTTGGAAAAACATAAAGCTTCAATTTGATCCAATGAGCAGTGTAAGTTTGGAACAGTGGCGATGTCTGACCAATGGAGAGAATTTGTAGCCATCTCCTCAAAGATTACATTACTTTGTCTTCCCAGATCAAAGTTCGTAGGTTAATCAAATGACACCATTATACCAGAGCACAGGGCTCTGACCCGAACATTTACCAAGCTGTTTACAAGTATATAGTTTCATCAGTAAACCATTAACTGCAGTAGCTACATTTCATCCCACAGATGGCAGCAACAAGACACTTTTAGGATAATTTGTCAAGTTTACATGAAAATGTCACTTAGCATAAAGATAAACCCGTTGAGACCCAATTTATGCAGCTGATCTATATGAGGGAAAAAGTTGACTAGGGGATTTGCAACTATTTAAGTTTCCTATGTGTACTGCTACCAGCTTTTGATTTTGTTTTTAGGGTTTTAACTTTTTACTGATATCAAATTATTATAATGTCTTCATTTTCAGCCTTTCATTATGTTGGGTTTTTAAAGTACTTTGTGAGAATAAAGAGCTAAATATAAGGTTTTTCTAAATATTCCAAATCAGTCATTTTAAGCTAATGAATTAAATAACTCTCAAAAGGTTTTAAAAAAGGTTACTGACCTCATTCTCTATAACTCTAATCACAGTTCTTACATATTCATTAGGAACAGATAGATAAGATTAGCAATATATCTCAGAAAATATATTAAACAATCCTTTTTTTTATGTTTTATGGAGTTGATAGTCTTTCCAAAAAGCCATTGTTTTGTTTGAGATATTAATATTTGACCCTTTGTTCTGCTTTTTTAATTTAATAAACCTCAACGTTTAATTTAATGGGCATAGCTTTAATATCACCTAACCCTTCCTGATTGTTGAGGTCCATCCAAACGCTGCACGATTAAATCCCACACATTTCATGTAAATATGCTTTTATTTTAATATTTCTCCCATTATTTACTCTCACCACCTACACACCAGGATGAATTGTTATTCATATTTCATGTTAAAAACAACATTCCCAGAAGAGCATATTGGACCTGAAATCTAGCCTTAATGCTGACCCTATTAAACTACTGCAGAGTGCAATCTGAATGCAGAGCAGAACTGGAGAAAACCCTTCCTGAATCTGAAGCTCCTCGATTAATTTTCACAAAAGATAGATGCTGTCCAAGGGGAACACAACCAGAACCGGACCTGATCTGAATAAAACAAAGATTAATTAGTTCCCATCAAAAACTGCATCGACTTGAGCGGACTTTAATGGACATGAAACAAACACAGGCGACTGAATGAGTTGATTATTTGATTTAATGAACCAACAGCAAAGCTGTGGTTGGAGTTTTGTAATAAACAATCTAATCTATTTAAGGACAGATATTTCCATTTATTTATCAGTCTTAGAATTTAAATTTAAATTAACAGATTTCCTTTGAAGAAATAAAGCTTAAACTCCAAAGGGTTTAAATGTAATGTCTTATTGTCTTCCTTTTTATAAGGCGTTATTTGTGTAAATCTTTTTGGTGAAGAACTATTGGGCCTGAAATTGCATTACTAATACATTTCTGAGGTTGCTTTTTAAGAATAAGATATATTAAACAGTAAGTGCAAACATGGGGCTTTTTGTTCCAATTATATCCTCATACTTCAAATTCGTGCTAAGATCTATGCTAACAAAGACTTCAAATGTCAATGTCTGGAAAGTATTCTAGATGTTTCTTCTCAGAACACAAAGCAACATGCTCCTTTTTTAAGCATATTTACTCAGTTTATAGACTGTGAATAATTCTGCAGCTCCTGAGGACAGAATCAGTCTGGGTTTTGGGAAAAGTTGCGTCTTTAAGTTCTGTTTTAATCATAAAAATAACAGAATAAAACATGCAAAAACACAGATCATTTTAAACCAATCAGCACTCTGCAATAAATATTTTTATTGACATTACACACAAAATGCCTTATCAAAGGTTATCAAAGGCTTTGTTGCTTTGAAGTCAGGTTTATGCCCCAAAATGATAAATATCTATAGTAAAACCATCTTGAATAAAATGTTTTCCTTTTTTTTATCTCCCAGTTTGCAAGGCAGCCAAAGCAGACCTGGTCTTTTTAGTCGATGGTTCCTGGAGTATTGGTGATGAAAACTTCCTGAAGATCATCCGGTTCCTGTACAGCACCGTTGGAGCTCTTGACCGCATCGGCCCAGACGGCACGCAGGTAACTCAGAGAGGAATCAGCCCTCGATCATCACTAAAACTAAAAAAATATTATTAGTAAAAGTTCTTTTTCTCCAAACATTATTTCTGGACTTGAACTACATTCCATTAGTGGAGCAAAATATATGTTTTATACTTCATCTAGAAGTAGATTAAAAAACATGAATTTATGCCACATTTAATCAACATAAACAATCCATTTTACTCCTCCTTGAAGCCTATTAAATATGCTCGCTCTGAGTTAAATCCAGCCTTCATCCCATTATTTGCTGTATTTCATCCACATTTCAGCTTCACTCTGCTAACAATCCATATTGTTACCAAAGCGGTGAAAGCAAACAGATTTGAATTTGTCTCATTAACTGTTGCCTCTGTATTTGTCCAAGAGGCAGAGATACTGCTACTGAAGGACAAATTGGGAAAACTATCTTTCATCATTTGCACATGAGACAATTCCCTTTAGCAAAAAGCAAAAGAATAGAAAAAAAACACAAAGCTTAGCAAAAAAAGTTCTAATATGAAACAAATGGGTGTAAAATTGCTGATAAGAGAGTGGATATAGCTATCTGTTAGTCCAATGAAACAGCTCACACTTTGCTTTAGGCTCCACGTTTTCTCATCCAGCGTATGGAAATGTTGTTTTACTGTCATTTCAGAGGAGGCAAACTAATGAAGGGGGTTTTCATTAGCAGCTTATTGTGTCTGTAATGACTGCGGTGCGAGCCAATAAAACTGAATATTACAGCATACAAATAGATTTATATTTTTCCAAGGAAAGGGAGGGCTTTTCTAAGACTTACAATACAAAATCACAGAAGATAATTAAAAGATCTTATAATCTTATTTAAATATGGATACTGGAAGAAAAGGAAAACATGCCAAAGCAAAGAACTGAACGAGAATGAAATCAATCTATGTTGAAATAAATGCATAAAGCAACCCTATTTAATCCAAAGTAAAATATTTTTTATACCAGCTTTGTTTAAAGAAGATAGAATGTAAAATTTATTTTTTGGGGCTTTCAACTGCCAAATAAATCAGCACTGTGCAGAAAAAATAAGATAAATCGTGTTATTACTAGAATTTTTTATAAGATAAGAGTTCCTCAATAACAATATCATCCACTTTCACCCCTTCAGCTACCTCTACAATGATCCTAACTAAAGTTTTTCTATAATTTTATAGTTTATAGTTTTATAGAATTTTATTAACTCTCTTAATTGTTTTAATTTGTCCCTTAATCCACTAGAGCATTTTTTCTAGAATGTGCCAATAAGTATGGAAAACACAAAAGAACACAAAATTGAAGGTTTTACCAAAGTTTTGCGCAAAAGATTCATTTTAGAAATAGAAATAATAGCAAAAACATAATAAAAGTCCTGTATAAATTATTCCTCTAATCCTGTAAGATTAAACTTCAAAGCGTCTGTTTTGAAATAAGTCTATCAGAAATATACACCGAGCTGAAACCAGGGCAGACCAGGTGGGCTTTCTTCCATGATGCTTCACTTTATAAGAGTTTTCAGATAATCTTGTTTGAAAAAAAGTCCATATTTGCATATATTTGATATTAGAGATGGGGGATCTAGAGCCAACAAGTCACGTCTATGTCATGTGTTTGTTCTGCACAGCTGCTGAACCAGGTTAGTCCAATCTGCAGAGTGAATCAACCTGTGCAGATTCGACTCACCTGGTTCAGTTGCTGGACTGAAAAAAATACATAATATAGAGATTACTTTTTGACTCCAGATCCCCCATCCATGTTTAATACATACATGAATTATTTTTACCCAAAATATATCCTGTTCCACCCACTGCAGTGCACATGGTTAAATATGGGGCTTCAGTAATGTTGTGCTTTGCTTGAAAATGTGATCCAGGGTTCTAAAAACCATCTGTGCAATAAATGGATGAATGCTTAATCCATATATGGGGATGTGTTATAACTTAGAAGGAGCTTTTTCTCTTGTTTCTTTGGAGAGGTTCAATTTCGGTTAAAAAATAAGGCTTGGACATTTTTTAAGATAAAGTTTTGTCAGTCTTATCTTTACAGGCAGATTTGAATTGAACCTAGAATGTGTGAGAGGAAACTTACTGATGGATCTATTCTGACCTTGCAGGTTGCTATAGCCCAGTTCAGTGATGACGCTCGGACTGAGTTCAAGCTGAACTCCTACAGTGACAAAGAGCGTCTGCTTGATGCCATCAACAGGATCTCCTACAAAGGAGGAAACACTAAAACAGGTGGGTTCTAAAAAAAGAAAAATGGGCGGGCTGCTTAGGGACAGAATAATTACTGAATAAGTTCTGAAATTACAGAATAAGTTCTGAAACTGCAGCAAATAAATCACAGTTATCTCTTTGGCTCTTCTATGTACTTTTATGTTTTATATTAACATACTTTCATGTATGTATAACATCTATACTAACGCATCCTCAAAGTGTTAACTATAAGTATGTAGAAGTGTGCGAGCTGAAACGAAGCCTGTGGGGGATTAGAGACAGCTCTAGTCTTTAATCAGTGTTTGCAAAACAGAAATGAGATCGCAGAGAGCAGATTTGTTACAGCATCCCTGCTGCAAGGGAATTCCCCTGCTGGTAATATCACTCTGGAATGCATCAGTTATTTATTTCTTTTTTTAATCAGAAAGTTACAGTTTGGAGCAAAATTATCTATTCACTCACAATGCTCAGTGCAATTAAGAGTATCCAGTCATTCCCTGAGGAGAATCTCTGTTGTTTGTCATTTAATTATCTTCTGGAAATATCAAAGAGAAGATGAATGAAACCTTTAAGCGAATAAAAGCTGTTACCATTATTTTATCTATGCTTTTTTTTAAATGAATGATCAAGACAGTTGTTGAAATAAAAATTAGGTATTTTGAGAGATGACAGCAAAACATCTGTATTTATGCGTACTGCTAAAAACCTGACCAAGATGCACTACAGTGTTATTAGATATTTACATAATTTATTTAAATTCTTTTTACTATACATTCAGTGATTGCCTATGAGAACAATAAAAGCAACTTTCATGTTCAAATATCATTTTCTATGAATTCTAGATGCCAGAATCCCTCTCTAAATGATCTTAATACTAGAACAGTCTATAGTACTGTATATGGCTAAATCAATAAAGCTGATTACATACAAACTGACAAACCCAGACATATCAAACTGTTTTACACATAATCCACGATTATTTTTCGATCCCAAAAGCCATTTTGGGTCCCTGAGCAAGACCTTTAACCCCATACTGCTCCCTGGGTGCAGCACAATGGCAGCCCATTGCTCCCCATGGGGATGGGCTAAATGCAGAGGTAAATTCCTCCAATTTGAGATCAATAAAAGTTCAATTATTGTATCATTAATTATCATACCCCTACATTGGAACACTTTCCAGCTGTGCTCTCCGTCTCAACCAGAGGGTGGCAGCAGTGATACCATAATGTAGATTAGACTATTTTGAAACAAAAAACGTTAACAACAAAAAACCAGCAATTAGTTCTTAACAAAAATATACTACAATAAAGTGGTCTAATACTGAAATAATGCTATTTGAGCAATTAGTTTGTTTATGTATTTATTGCATAAATAAAAATTAACATAATTACATTGCATAAATATGCAAATAGATAAATATGCCTTGCATATGCAGATCTATTATTTTCTCATCATAGAATTTGGGATTGCAGCCTAATGGTTAGGGCATTGCGCTTGGATCCCAGAGGTTCTGAGTAAAAGCCACACTGCTACAAACTGCCACTCTGGACCCCTGAGCAAGACCCTTAACCCCTGCACTGATTCCCAAGGGGATGGGTTAAATGCAGAGAGTTAATTTCGTTGCTTAATACTTGTGAAAAATGTAATGATTTCTTCATTCTTCATAATTTATCAGTATATACTGTGTTTATTTGCATCCGCAATGCAAAAATGTTAAATGATTGCTTCTTTAGATGTAGAGAAACCAGAGTGTGCACTCATACCTTTACTGTGGAATGGTGCAGATTTCCACACTCAGGTCGATATTTCTATGTCTATATTTTTGTGTAGAAATTTCATTTTGACATCTTGGTGCATATTCAACCTGTTGCTCTGCTTTTCGGCACTGTTTTGAGGTTACCTTAATGGGCTATAGCTTTGGAAAACTTTACTCTTGACCTTCTAATAGACTTCTGCCAGCCACTGACAACTTCCAAGCAGGCTCCTCTCTGGTTCCCTCCAAATAAGCTCTTTTAATTTTTGGAACCATTGTCTCATGCATCACTTCCCAGGACCAGTCATTAGAGTAAAAGTTTCAGTTTGGAGATAATTATCAGCTCGAAAAGCCTAAAATGATGCTTTCACTGACAGCTTCTTTTTGGAAGTTAACTTCAGTGGTGACTCGCTGAAGTTTTGCATCTGCTTTCTAGTCCAGAAACAGTGCAAGCAGCATATGAAACTTCAAAGGTTGCTGCCACAAACATCTGAGACATAGCAATTTAACTGGCGCCAAATTAAAATCTTAAACCCTCAGGGCAACGTTGGCATGTGGGGAGGGGTTAATCTGACTCCTGGCGGAAAGATGAACCCTCCAAGGCAGTCATTTATTTAGCAGCACTGATCCATAATCAGTAATCTTCTGTAACTCATGCCGCCATTTAAATTTGTAATGCAGATTTTCTTTCCTGGTGTAACTTTTCTTCACAGTTCACAAATTATTTTAGCAGGATTGTTAATATACCTGCAGGGGGAAATAAATCAATATCTGTTTTCTGCAAACAAGCTGCTCTACTATTGACTTTTTAGACCTAAACTGGCTTAAAGCCTTTTTTCCTCCCGCAAAGAAAAAAATAAAAAAAATTTTTCCTTTTTTCGGTTCTGTGGAATGGGACAAGAAATGAATGAAAACACTGACACCCTCTGACCTTCATCATTTTATCCACATTGGTTAGAGCCCTATAATTTGGTTATTGAGCATATTTGAAGTTTTTTTTTTTCTTTTAAACCAGGTCGAGCCATCCAGCATGTGAAGGAAAACATCTTCACTGCTGAGGGAGGAGTGAGAAGAGGGATCCCCAACGTCCTTGTGGTTCTTACCGATGGTCGATCACAGGATGATGTCAATAAAGTTTCCAAAGAGATGCAGATGGCAGGTCAGAAGTTTGTCAAATATGCAAGTGGAGCTTTAGTGTTAATCCTTTAGGCTGTCTGTTTGAATGGGATGTTGGGAGCCTGTCAGGCCAGTGACTTTATGTTTCTTTTTGGCTTTAACTTAAGTTTAACACACACTTAATGTATTCTTACACTTCTACATCCATGGGCGGCTCTAGACAGGTTCCACAGCAGGGGCCAGTGCCCGTAGAACAGATCCTGGCCCCCTCTATGGCAACACATATTGGCATAAAAATTTTAACTAATTGGTCCCTTGGATACATTTTAATTTTTCATGTACAAGTTTACATCAACAATGATTTAAACATCAAGATGTACAGATGTATTGAGATCACAATATTTATCTTCTAGATTGGAGTTTCTAGAGCCTTGAATAACTTTTTGTCCCATTTTATATATAAAATGATAAGATATTGCCCTTTTTTAGTTTTATTATTTTTGCTCTATGTGGCAGTTTTTTACTGCTTCCTCTTATTAGAGTTTTAAAAACTATCTTAAAAAGAGGATTCTTAGTATTTGTTTAACAACATGAATTAATAAACTTTTTTGCAGTGTATCAGCATTATTAGTGACCATAAAGTCACCAGCAAATATCCTGTGGTAAAAGTTGAAATAATGATTTATCATTCATCTTTGATAAAAACATTAGATTATTATTTTAAAACTTTTTTATTCCCCGATTTTATCCTGGTTTATTTAAACTACTGCCTTTATTTATAATTTCTGTAAATTCCAGTTCCTGAAGATGAAGTGTTTGTTTTTTGCTCTGCCACCATGTAAAGGTTACATCGTATTTGCTATCGGCTTCGCTGACGCTGACTACGGAGAGCTGGTGAGCATAGCCAGTAAACCGAGCGACAGGCACGTCTTCTTTGTCGACGACCTGGATGCCTTTCAGAGGATCGAGGAGAAGCTGGTGACCTTTGTCTGCGAGGCGGCCACCGCAAGTAGGAACCTTTTAAAGCAAAGCTTTGGCTTTTCTAGATAAACCCCATGTAACCTTTCTTTTTATTTTCACCCACAACAGCTTGTCCTTCAATACCAATGAGTGGCAGCACAATGCCAGGTAAATGTAATAGGATATGACTTTCCACCGATGTCTGAGCTTTATGTTAAAATTTAACTCCTTGCAGTGTTTTAAAGGCCAAATTTTTAAGATTTTTTTTGTGCTTGTTGGGATTTAATAGTGTTTCATCCATGTTTGAAATAAACCTGCTGAGTAATTTCCAGAAGATATAAGAAGGGTTTTTGAAGCTCTGCTCAGAAGATGATGAGCTCTTAGAGGGAAAGTGGTTTTAAGCAGACGAACACAGCTGTGATGCTTAATTTGAAAATCCTTTTGTACAGAGAGTATAGAGAAATGAAGGACCTGCTCTGTTTTCTTGAATTTAAAGAGGCGTAGTGTAATATGGTTATGGGGAGGGATTTGTGTCACTGAATGAGGAAGTCAAATGCAGGAGGGTTATATGTGTGAGAGTGGTTGAGGGTAGATTGACTGTGTCTCAGTGGTTAGAGAACTACAGTATCTTAAAATCAGATACTTGTGGGATCATTAACAGCTTCCTCTTCTTTCAAAGTGTGCCCCATTTAACCTCAGTTCGTCTGCTTTGGGTATCTGTGAGGGTTTGAGAGAGGAAATGGGTGAATGCGGTTCTGGTTAGTTGCTCTTATGAGTAGAAATGCACTAAATAGATGCAGTAAATTTACCATTTATGGGAGGTATGTGGTTTGAGTCACAGCGATTATGCAAAAAGGGTTTTAGTAGAATGTTTTCAGGCTGTGCTGTGATCTGTAGGGAGAATAGGAAGCAGAGGGAATGGAGTCTGGAAGCGTAGAGATATGGTCTAGATAGTAAAGGTGAACATCAGGAGAAGCAAAACAATTTACTCCTCTGAGCTACAGAGAGGAAGTCGAAGAGTGAATCTGAAGGGAGTAGAAATACTCAAGTTGGACGAGTTCAGTCACCTGTAGAGTTAATGAAGATAAATGTCAGAGATGATTTGTAAAAGACGGATAGCTAGAATAGTGAAAAGGATTATTGTTTTGTTTGCAGTTGTGATGGACAGGTTGACTGATAAGGACAGGCATAAGTCTTTTAGGTTGATGTCAGCAGACACCTCTATGATCTTTAGCAGCAGGAGGAGAGTCTGTAGAGATGGATGGATGCTCTGGAGAGAACATATGTACTTCCTGAGAAGAAAATAAGAGTATGGTAGAAGGAGGGCAGGATACTGGTATGTAGACAAGAGGAAAAAAGCTGTAATTACTAGAGGTGCTGAAGTTTGACAGGAATAAGTACCTGTGAAGTGGATGGAGAGAAATGTTAGAATGATTTATGACAGAAACTGTAAAGGTTTAATAGAAGGTTCACATTTGGACAACTGGTAAATGGCCTCTACTTATATAGCAACTGTTTAAGTCAGGGACTTAAAAGCACTTTACACTGCAGTCAGTCTTTCATCCATTTATATGTTAACACCCTGATGATGGTGAGCTACATTGTACAGCAGACTCACTGAAAGAGGCAACGCTGCCATAAATGGCCTCCTTTGGGCCCCCTGACCACCATTAATAGTTTGTAAAGTTTGGTTTGTTGTATAGTTTGGAGACATTGGGACAAATAAAACTCAGGGATTTAAGAAATGTAAGACGTTGGAGCTGAAGATGTTAGTATTTTAATTTGATTGAATCAAAATGATCATAAGTAGCAGAAAGTTTAACTGATTAGCAGCTAGGGAGGCTAGTCTAAAATGGTTTAGACTTTTACAGTTCTGCAAAGGGACGCTGTGGTAGATTTAGCTGAAAACATCCCATATTGCTGAAAAAAATCGACTGCAGATCCAATGTAGCTTTATGCAACTTTATTTTTTAACTGTGGCATTAACAACAGTCATATAGAACTGCATTTTTTTTCTAGAGCTTTATTTCTTCTTCGCTGTGCATTACAAGAAAAAACAAAAAAACAAAAAACAACCTTGCTGAGATATGGCATCTGCACCCTCTAGTGGAGAAATTCTTCTGCAGTCAAACTAGTATTACATATTTTAACCAGTAAAACAAATCCCCTTTGGGTTTAAAACAATCATTTAAACTCTAACTGTACTGTATTTATTTGATTGTTTAATTTATTAAATTCTACTTATTTAACTTTTAAACTTATGAAATAACCATACTATTCAACAGAAGCTGTATTAATGGAGGAAAAGTCAGTTGATTGGTGCATTAGTGAAGGAGTATAAGCAGAGGTTCTGGTAGGATGTTGGAGGGATGGCAGAGAATGATCATGTTAACACTCAATCTCTCAGTTTTTCCATCTTTTAGAGTGAACTGATTTAAATGTTATTGTTTTTTTTTTAATCTGGGTTTCCTGCTCTGATTTTCTGTTCTTATGTCCCTCCCCGTCTGCCTCCAGGTTTCCGTATGATGGAGCTGTTTGGACTGGTTGAAAACAAGTACAACAGCATCTCTGGTGTTTCTATGGTTCCTGGCACTTTCAATGCATTCCCCTGTTTCCATCTGCACAGCAACGCTCTGATGGAACAGCCAACCAGGTAGAAGAACTTGATCAGCATCGCAGACTGAACAACGCAACACGCTTGCTATATTTAGGTCTTCACCTCATAGATGATCTGACTTGTATTTCCTTTGACCCACAGGTTTATCCATCCTGAGGGGCTTCCCTCTGACTACACCATAACCCTGCTGTTTAGAGTTCTGCCCGATACCCCAAAGGAGCCCTTTGCAATCTGGGAGATCCTAAATAAGAACAACGATCCGCAAACTGGGGTCATCCTGGACAGTAAGTAATTCAACTTTGCATCCAAGAGAGGGGAAAAATATAAAAGGAAAGAGGAAAGACAAAAGTAAGACCTTTGACAAAACGCTGTTTATCTAAAACAGAAATTTTCGCTCATAAGAAATCCAATACAGCCACTTATAGCAGCCTCACCAATTAGCATCAAAGCTTTGTCTTCCTAAAAAAAAAACACCTGACTGGCTGGAAATTCACACATATAGGAAACTGACTGTTACTTGTTACCTCCCAGCACCTTGGTGGAGAGCTGGGAATCAATCAAATTGGATATTGACTTGAATGTCAAGCTGCGTAGCTGTGGATTGGATTACCAGCTTCCATAGTCATTGAGACCCACATCTCACAGGACATCATCAGGACATATCATTGCTGCACCTTGATCATGAATGCTGACCGTAGCTTACTGTTCTTGAGGAGAAACCTTTTTCCCTCAGGCTTTATCGTCAACTCCTTACGATGCATTTTTAGGAGCATCCTAACTTACTGTACCGCAGCTTGGTGTGGGAAAAGCTCTGTCCTAAACCAGAACATGTTGCAGCAAACCATTGGACCACATTCTATTAAGAATAAGTAAAGTATTACTGAGTTTTCTTTTTTTTTGCATCTATTTAACAAATTCTTGTCTTGCTACAGATTCAGGGAAAACTCTGACATTCTTCAACAATGACTACAGAGGGGAATTTCAGACTGTCACATTTGAAGGTCCAGAGATCCAGAAACTCTTCTTCGGGAGCTTCCACAAGGTTAGAAAGGCTTTCTTTGTTTTAAAATCTGATTCTTTTGGTATCTTTATCAGACTGTTCTAGTGCATAAAAGTTGCTGTTAATTTGTAACTGCAGGTTAGATCACATTTAAATGCCTGACTGAACAAAGAGATGCAGACTGTTATAGTGGGTTATGTGTAGAAAAAACAAGAAGCAGGTTATGACTTTAGGATTGATATAAGGGAGTGTTTCCTAGTGGTTAGAGCAGTGCGCTTGTCCTCTGAGAAGATGGCAAGTACCTTTTTCAAACCCAAAAGCCATTTTGGGTCCCTGAGCAAGACCTTTAACCCCATACTGCTCCCTGGGCGCCGCACAATGGCAGCCCATAGCTCCCCACGGGGATGGGCTAAATGCAGAGGTAAAATTCTCCTATGTGAGATCAATAAAAGTTCAATTATTATATCATTAATTATCATACTCCTCCATTGGAACACTTTCCAGCTGTGCTCTCCGTCTCAACCAGAGTGTGGCAGCAGAGATACCATAATGTAGATTAGACTACTTTGAAACAAAAAACGTTAACAACAAAAAACCAGAAATTAGTTCTTAACAAAAATATACTACGATAAAGTGGTCTAATACTGAAATAATGCTATTTGAGCAATTAGTTTGTTTATGTATTACAGGGGACAGTTTGTTTTTGAAGTTATCAGGGAGTCTTGTATACAATTAAAGATAAAGAACAACTGCTCTGCCCATTATTTAGACCCATAAATACATTTAACAACACAAAGGCATAAATATATGCCTATTCTTATTAGCTAAGGGCCTCATAAAAACTTGATCTGTTTTGAGTGATTTATATGTAAAATATGGATGCTGTTCGTGTTAATTTTCCTGCCTTTTCATTGTTACCCATATAGATGGACTTTAACTGGTCTTAGTGCCTATTAGTTTTCAGCCACCCGTCTTATACCTGTTGGTCTCTGCCTGGCTGCCCCCATTAAGGTTTTCTAGAACCGCCACTGCTGCCAGCTGCATTACATAGATATCTGCTTAAGTACAAAAAAAAAGTAGTTTCAAGTAGCTTGTTGATGATGGACGACAGTCAGGAAAAGCAGCAGATGTCTCCCTAACCTACTCAGGGAGTGATTGGTTGACCATCTCATTTTTTATTCTATTCAGCCCATCTGGAATTTAGCATCTTAGCTTTTTCACTGGCCTGTTCAGTTTCCTTTTCTTACCATCTCTCTCTCCTGCCTTAATCTATTTTTATCCACAGTCTTTCTGAGCAGTGTTAACAGTGGCTGGTGTCCCAACAGGCTGACTTGAGTTGAGTCATGCCCCGAGTCTGAACCTGCTCACCGTCGCCTTGTGTTATCATCATAGAGAAACTCGCAGACTGATCTGCAGTCACTTCATTCAGCTGGCTGTCCACAGAGCTTACCCTGCTTACCTTTTCCCCTTTTGTTCTGCTCGGTCTCTGCATGCATGTGCGTGCACACTTAGAGTCTGAGTGAGTCAGAGTTGATTTTAGAATCCAGGAGGAGCTGAACCTCCATTGCCTTGCTAATAAGTCACAGCGACATCTATATAGGGCCATGTGATTAGGGATTAAAGGAGATAACTAATGTGATAATCTGCAGAATTGCATGACTTCTCCTTTTAACCAACCTTAAAGGTTATATGGTCTACTCTATGTAGTTTACCTGCCTTTTTTTTAACATTTACCTCCTATTTGCTCAAAATCGCAACACTTGCCAACATTCTAATAGTGGAAATGTTTCACAAGCTGCATCCTCAGATAAGGTGCTAGTCCTTCACACTTCACATTCTCAGCAGGATTTACCTCAAGTCTCAGAAACTTCTCTACTTCCTGCATGTGTATACAAGTATGGATTTACTAGTGTATACATACACACACTAGTGGGCACAGATGATGGAATGAAGCAGGGTTGGAGCAAAGCTTTACATCTCAAGTTGGACTATTCTTAGGCTCTTAGAACTGTGGCCAAGCTTTAGAAAAGGCTTTCGAGAAAAAACTGCCAGTTCCTGGAAAAAAAAAACATATTTTCCCTACATAGTAACGCTAAGTCAGTTTCATAAAAATACCAATAAGTTTTGGATATAAGACATATTTTGTCAATCGTTTGGCAGCATTGACCTTATAAAGAACAATGTAGCTCAGCTCTACCCCAGTGCACTGCAGGAAAGTGCTGTGTGGTTAGATTTCAACCAGAAGCTTTATTTTATCTCTGTCAATGGATGTTGAATAAACGTCCAGCTGAAAGGCTGCTGGGTAAAAAAGTTTTTTGATTTCTGCATTCTCTGGTTTAATGTCAAAGATGGAAAAAGAGCAAACATATATTTGTTTATACTTGTAAGGATTTGCCTGTTTGTTTTATATGCTGTACATATTAGGTAGTATATATTTATATATATTTATTTTGTTTGTTTCAATGAGCCTGTTTTCCTCCCCTTTAGAAACCAAAACTGTGTTGCCAGGTAACAGCTTCTTTTGGCAATAGTAGAAATTGGACTGTCAGATTCAAGAGGATAATAATCACTGTCTTTCAGCCAATTACAATCAGGAACATCTATTGCCAAATTGTGATGGGCCTGTATTGCTGCAAAACAAGGATATTCATATTTTTGCAGTCTTCCCTTCAGCTTAGTTGAAAATGTCTCATTCTCAGGGGTTGGCAGGGAAGTGATTGACTATAGCAGAATAGCTGCATGTGTCTGGCCCTGTTTAAAAGGTGGAAAACAAATTATAGATTTCTTTTAAAATAATGTAATAAAAATGGTTACTGTTCTGCTCCAAATCCATCTAAGACTTCCAGAGACTTTTAAAATGTTTTAGCTGAAATTTTGATTTTTTTTTTTAAGGTTCATGACCATGTTTATAAGTCAGAGGGGGAAACGTTTCCAGAGAAAACTAAATTCAAAAGTTTTAGAAACAAATTGCTTTCTTAAGTATCAATCAAACTGTCTGTGTTGCTTCTCTGATCCAATATCAGGTTTAACGCTGGAAAAAGATCTAGAAATATGTAAAAATATCTTAAATTAAGTGTATTTACCCTTGATTTGAGTAGGTAAATTATATAGTTTGCCAATGGAATGAGTATTTTTACTCTTCAAATAAGATAACTAGATAATTGCAATTGTGTTTTCCTTTTTTTTTTTTTAAGTAAATTGTCTTTATCCATTGGCAAAATATTTCTTTTACCTCCTCAATCCAAAAACAAATGCACTTATTTTAAGAAAAAAAAACTACTTATCCTGATTTCGATTTTTTTCCAGTGCAGTGATATCTTCATCTCAGCAGCAAACTGCACTTTTTTTCTTCTTTGCAAAAGTTACCCAGATTGGATGCAGATTATCTCAAATGGTTTAAAGTTTTTCTAATGGTCAATTTAACACATGAATGTGCTTCTTCTTCTTC